GTCAAGATGAGCCCGCCATCCCGCTCAAGAAGAAGAAGGGCAACGGCTCTTCATGGGCCAACGGCGGGCGGTTTATCCAGAAGGAAGGGTCAAGCTTGTACTACATTGACGCGCCGGTCTTGGCCGTCGACGTAGCCGATACAAGCGCGGGTGCGATGCCGGACGAGTGCGATGAGGTCGAGTTCATCCTCGACAACGCTGCGCTGGCGCACATTTGCCGCCACGAGCACGCGTTCGAGTCGTTTGATGGCCACGTACACGAGGTCAAGTGGTTCAACGGCAACACGTCCCAGCAGCGCCGCGGCGCCGCATGCTTTGCGTTCCCGGACGCTTCGTCGGGCACTGCAACGGACGTGCAGCTGCAGATGCACCTCGACACGGCATCCCGCGTCAACATTTTGAGCCAAGTGCGCCTCCGCGAAGACCATGGTTTGCTGGCCACTCTCTCGGCTGACAACATGACCATGACGCTTCGCAGCACTGAGCTCACGCTCATCTTCCAGTTCCGCGACGGGTTCTATCGTTTGCGGGCGCGCGTTCTACCGCGCGACGGCGACGCCACGGTCCTCTTTACTGGCGCCGCCGTACCGTCGAAGAAGAGCAAGCTACGCTTGTGGCACAACCGTTTGGCGCACGCGAACATGGACGTGATCAAGTCCATGGCCAAGAGTGGCGCCGCCTTTGGCATGGCGGTGCCCCCGCGGGAGCTCCAGTCGACGGCCGACTGTCTCTCGTGAGTGCTTGCCAAGCAGAAACGGATGTCCCACAACACCAAGCCCGAGCGCACGAAGATTCCACTGCACAAGATCATCGTGGGCATTGGCTTTATCTCGGGCACGGTGTCGGCTGGCAAGAACACGTGCTACCTCGCAATCATCGACGAAGGCACGCGTTTCGTCTGGATCTTGCCGATGGTCCAGAAGGCCGCCGCCACCGAGACGTTGATCCAGTTCGTGCTTGCGGTGCAGCGCATTTACCACCGCAAGATCGCGATCATCTCGAGCGACGACGACAAGATGTTCAACAACAAGCGCATCAAGGAGACGTGCAAGATTGGCATTACGCAGCAAGTGACGCACGCGTACAGTCCCGAAGAAGTCGCGCTCGTGGAGAAGATCAACTATGTGATCATTGACAAGGTGCGGGCCGTGTTGACGGCTGCAGGCTTGCCGGACGAGCTGTGGTGTGAGTGCGCGCAGTACGTTGCGTACACGTACAACCGCACGGGCACGAAGCCACTCGGTGGCCGCACACCGTTCGAAGCTCTCAAGGGCAAGCCGCCTCGATCAAGCACCTACGGCCGTTTGGCTGTGTCATGATCAAGCACATTGGTCGCAAGTACCGTGGCTCCAAGCTCTCGAATCGTGGCCTGGCCTGCATCTTTCTGGGCTACGACGGCGAGACGCGCGGGTACCGTTTGCTCGGCCTGCGCGACGGCAAGGTGTATCTTGCTCGCTACAAGAACACCCGGTCGTTCGAGGACCAGACCGTGGACGGCAAGTACGTACGCCAGCTGCTCGCGCTCGCGGCAGGCACGTCCACGGAGCCGGTCTCATCGAAGCTGCCACTTTGCGATCTCCCGGTGGTCGACGTTCCAGAGTCGTACGTTCCGCTCGTCAACCTCGACGTCTCGGAGACGGAGGATGACGCCGACGCGGAGTCGTCAAGTGCCGAAGACGACGACGACGACGACGACGACGACGACGACACCGAGAAGGAAGACGCGCCGCCGCCTCAAGACGACGACGACGCGCCTACGGTCTACCACGATGACGACAAGTCGGTTGATGTCTCCGACGTGATCACGGGGACGTCCCGACGTCGCATCTGGCTCGACACCAAGCCGCCTGCTTTGCGCCCGGCCAGCGACGTTGCCGACACTGCCCAAGCCGTGGGAGGTGCGCGACGTCGCAAGCGCAATCGGTCGCCATCGCCGCCGCCGCCAAGAACCAACGAACGGCCCCAGCGATCGGCCTCAGCGCGCCGTGCACCGAACCGCATGGTGCTGCTGATCGACCAACAGCAGACGCACAAGGAAGTGCCACAGACCATCGCCGAGGTGCGCGCCTCGCCCGATGCGGCCAAGTGGTACGAAGCAATGAAGGAAGAAATCGAGTCGCACAAGGCCAATGGGACGTGGCGCCTCGTGCGACGCCCGCCCGACAGGAAGGTCTTGCGCAATCGATGGCTGCTCAAGCTCAAGGTGCTCAACGCCCGGCGCTCACTGCGCTACAAGGGTCGCCTCGTCATCCGCGGCTTCGAACAAGTTGCCGGCCGCGACTTTGACGAGACGTTTGCACCTGTGATCCGGTTTGAGACGCTGCGAGCGATCTTGCTCTACGCTGCGCTGCGCGGCTGGTCGATGCGCCAGTACGACTTCATCACGGCGTTCCTCAACGCTGCGCTCGACCGCCGGCACATCCTCCTCATGGAGCAGCCCGAAGCATTTGAAGACCCCAACTTCCCGCGCGACAAGTGGGTGTGTCTGCTGCTGAAGAGCATCTACGGCCTCCGTCAAGGCCCGCGCGAGTGGAACTCGATGCTGCACAAGTTTCTCGTCGGCCTCGGTTTCCAGCGCAACGAGAAGGACCACGGCCTGTACACGAAAACAGTGGGAGGAGAAGACAATCCGGACGTTATTTTCGTGGCCGTCTACGTGGACGATCTCATCATCCTCGGCGAAGACGAGCACACCGCGCCGGTGATCAAGGCGCTCCTCTCCAAGTTCAAGATGACGCAGCTCGGGCCGCTCAAGTACTTGCTGGGCGTCGAGATCAACTACGTCCCGGGCAAGCTACTTTCGTTCTCGCAGCGACGCTACACGGAAGACATCATCTCCAAGTTCGGCAACCTCGGCATGAACCCGACGGACATGCCGCAGACGCCAGGTGCCGAGAAGTCGCTCGACCTCGAAGAAGAAGACGAAGAGGAAGAGCAGAAGGAGATCGACAAGGCCGCGTACCCGTACCGCAACCTCGTGGGTGCGCTCCAGTACCTCGTGACGGGCTCACGCCTCGAGCTCGCCAACGTGGTCCGGACGCTCGGCAAGTACCTCAACACGTACACGCACAAGCATTGGGCGATGGCCCAGCGTGTGCTGCGGTACCTTGTCGGCACGCTTGACTACGGCCTGGTGTACGACATCGAGGAAGCGCGATCGTACAACGGCATCAACATCGAAGGTTGGTGCGACTCCGACTGGGCCAACGACGTCAAGGACCGCAAGTCGATCACGGGCTTTGTCACCCAGATCAACGGGCAGACGATTGCCGCCAAGAGCTTCAAGCAAGACAACGTCGCGGCAAGCTCAACCCACGCCGAGACGGTTGCAGCAAGCACGGCGGCCCGCGACATCGTCTGGACGGAGCAGCTGCTCGAGGAGTCACATCTCGCGCACGCCCCGTCCACGCTGCTCATTGACAACCGTGGCGCAGTCTCGCTGTGCCAACGGCCCGGCTCGCACAAGCGGTCCAAGCACATTGAAGTGCGACACCTCATCTGCCGCGAATACGTCGAGAAGCGCAAGCTATAGATTCGCGCCGTACGCAGTGAGGACAACATGTCCGACCTCTTCACCAAGGCTGTCGATCAAGCGCGGTTCCACAAGTTCCGCGATGCGATCGGCGTTCTCGACATCAAGAAAGCCATGGCCAAGGCACAGTCGACCAAGAAGAGCAACAAGGTGCAGCGCAAGCTGCCAGGCCGAGTGCTACGCCTGGTGATGGAGAAGGACCCCGTGTGGGTCACGCCTGGTGAAGTGGACACGGAGCATGAAGATGAAGAAGACGCGCAGGACGCCGACTCGTCCTCCGAAGCGCGCCACGTTCAGGCCAAGCGCCTGCCGATAGACGTGACCGGCTCGGCCGGTAAGGTACGTCGTGTGACGAAGCAGCGATCCCGTCGACGGACGGACGCTGTGGAGGTCGCGCGCCGAAACGTACAGGAACGTGCGGCGAAGGTGGGACGCCACGCTTCGGCCAAGATGCACGAGAAGAAGAAAAGACGAGTCGTCCGAAGTTGTTAAAGACGGGGACGTAAGAGACTTGCCTGTTGGCAATGGATCTTCAACGATTCGGATCGGTTGACTTGGTCTAAGTATAATATAGAGAAAGGAGGTGGTTTTACAATGGCTGGCCCAAAAGGGCTCACTCCAAATTTGGTAGCCTGGTTTCCACCTGCCTTGCACGCTTTTACGCGCCGCAACGACCTCTTGTTCCTCTGTCTTGGCTGACGCCTCTGCAAGTGCCTTTTACAAGTCTCTAATCTTCCTTACAAAGTCTTCGCATATTGTCGCGAAAGTACCGAAACGTTCTCAAGTTGGCTCTGGGTCGATTTGCTATCTCTTTTTTTCGATTGTTGATGTTGCACAATGCCATGGTTCGGACAGTACCGGCGTCTGAAGAGGGTCTCGCTGTAGGTTGGATCGGGGCCGAGGTAGTCGCGCATGATGCTCGCCTGGCCAAGGCGGAACATGCCGTACACGACGCGGCCCTCGGGCAAGAGCAAATACGCAGTCATGCGGAAGCTCGCGTTTACTGCGACCTTCTTTTTGTCGGCCGCCTTGGGCGACAGAGACGTTGCAATCGTCGGTGGTGGTGGCCGTGTCGTCGTCGCCGTCGTGGTCCGACGACATGGATGACGGTTTGCGGAATCAACCAAACCCAGTCATGAAGCGCAATGACATGGACGCGCGCTTCGTCTCGGACGATGTCTCAGCCGGCGCTGTCGGCGCGTCGTCCACAGGCACCGCTGGTGTCGGCAACGGTGGTCCGTCGACGCCCAAGATGGGCGCTGACCGCGCGCGCTCGAGTACCGCTGTCGTTTCGTCAATGGCGGCGGCGATCTGAACTACGATCGCGCTGTCGTCGTCTTGGTGACCGAGAAGGTGGTTCACTGTATGGGACTCGTCGTCTTCCGTGTCGTTGTTGTACTCTTCCTCGGCCTCCAAGGCGTCGAGGTACGGCGACGTCGCGCCCGATTCGTCTCCGCTCTCTTGCGCTAAAAAGCGTCGGTCATCGACGCGTTGGCGTGCGACTGCTGTTTTGTGTACGGCTTGCTGGGCGCAACGTCGGGGAGGAGGCGGCAGCGCTGTCACTTGGACGACGTGAACGCGTCGAGTTGCCACTCGTGCTGAATGTTCCAGCGCAGTAGCCGCTCGAGATTCATCCAGTCGTCGTACTCCTTGGCTTGCTTGCGCCACACTGGGTCGGACAAGGGCCGCACCTAGGATGATTCCATGTATCAACGTTTTAAGCAACACTATTAACTAAGTACCTGGACACCCGCAGAAATACGATTTGTTTCGCACTGCGCGCTTGGTCCGTCTCGTTCTGGACCGCGCTCTGAAACGCCGCGCGCTTCTTGAGCTGCGAGTCGCGCAACGTCTCGAGGTGCTCGTGGTAAAACAAGTCACGGCGGTAGACCTCGGTTTCCGTCCAGACAAAGTCCTCGTGCTGCAGCATGTGGCGCAGCTCGTCCGTCGACGCGAGTGTCACTTGCAGGCAGCGCGTAATGAGCTATTGGCACCAGATGAGATGTATGCGATTCGAAATCGGGTACCTCGGCACGACGGCGCGCCGACTCCATCCAGCGTGGTTCTGTCGCGCAGAGTGACTGTGTGTGGTGCATGAGGCGCGCGAGTTCGAGGACGAACCAGTGCACGAGCGACGTGTCTTCCTTCGTCGCGACAAACTGGGGTAGCTTGAGCACCTGTACAAAGTAGTCGAGCTTGTTGAGCTTCGCGAGAAACACCGCGTCCATCGGCAGCGGCATCGAGTTGAGGCGGCTTCGGCGGCGTGCCGGCGCGCGACTCGCATCGTCGTCGTCGGACGAAGAGCTCTCATCGTCGGCATCATCCTGGGCCTCGTCGTCGCACAAGACCTGGTACATGGAGCGCAGCACAATAAGCTGGCGAAGGTGCCGCCTGTAAACGGCTTGAGCGCCGACGGCACCAACGGTGCAAAGCTCCCGCGCTTGGGCTTGCTGTTCGACATGATCAAGCTCGGGCGTTGCGATGGCGTCGTCGTGAGGCTCGCGCGGGGCTGCTCCGTGCGGCCAAAGGTTGCATCCAAGTCGAACGTGAGCTGCGACGCACAACGCTGCCAGATGTTGAGCAGCGACTCGCAGAGGTCACGCTCGCCGTCGAGCTCTTCCCGACACTTCCAGAACGCAGTGTCGTCCATGGTTGAATCCCGGCGCCTCGTTGCCGGCACGTCTGGATCAAAGGGGAAGACGACGCTTGCCGCGATGCTGCAGACGTGCTCAATGTGCGCCAGCACACGGACGCGTGGGGCGGCACATGAATGTCGACGAGATGCGTCACGCGATCCAAGATAGACTTGAGCCATGACACAACCACAAGCGACGACGGCATGTACAGTGCGAGCGGGTGGAGCACGAGCTCGCCCGCACTCTAGTTGGTCTTAGCACGACGAGCTGCGCCGCGAGCTCCAAGCACGCACCACCCACGAACGAGTGCACGACGCCCGGCGCGACCGACACGAGAAGGTACATGAGGTGCGTGCGAAGATGGTCGTTGAGGAGAGGTGCGGTCTCCTTGGTGCCCACGAGGCGTCGGTACTGGTCGCGGAGCGCGCCATCCTGCGCGACCACATCGACAAGGTATTTGTGGTCCTGGAACCGCGGAAGGACCGTCGCCGCCCGCAGACACTCCGTGTCCGTCAGACTTGCATTGGTCACGACCTCGCGCAAATGGAGTGTCGTCGTGTCCGCCGGTGCATCTATCACAATCAATGCGTGAGCATCAATCATCTACAATGACGCGTGCGGTCGGCGTCCGGACACGCGTCGCGCTCGCGGGTAGTGGCGCCGAAAGGAAGCTCTCAAACATGGCTTCAATCGCGACAGGCGGGTACGCGTGCGTGGCGTAGCACTGCAGAAGCGTTCGGCGGTTGATCGTGAACTTGATCGAGTCGTCGCCAAATAGAAGCTTCCAGTACACAAAGCCGGCCCACCGAATGTGGAGCGGGTTTTGCTTGAGGAGCTCGAGAAACGGAAGGAGGCATGCTCGGGTGCCGCACGACGTTTGAGGTCGTTGTCGCGTCCGAGAGCAGCGCTGCGTGGTCGTGGACGTCGTCGTTGTCGCTCTGGAAGAGGTGCACCGCGGAATCGCCATAGTCGATGCCCAGAAATAGCGAGTCGAGCTCGTTGATACTACCGAGGTGCTACGGGTACTCTTGCACGTTGAGCGCCCCGAGGATCATGCGCACATCGATCGTCGACAGCGACGGCTACACCCATCGTGAGCGCATGTTGCATGGGATATGCGTACTCTACCTTGAGCGTCGGCGTCGCGTTCAGGTTGCACTTGAAATTGATGTATGGCGCAACAGCCGGAGGGTCGTGCGGCGCACCGGTGCGTTGTCCGTCGCAATGAGCGGCAGCCAGATGCGAAGACCCCCGAGCCGCCCAAAGACGCTCAAAAACTCAGTTTGCGTCTCGGCGGTGATCGAGAGATCGATGACGATTTGCAGCAAGTCGGAATGTCCGAGTCCGACACGTACTCTGCGATCGAGCCTGCGTCAATCTACCAGACATGGGATCATGTGCGCGAGATGCGATGGAAAATGATACCTCGACTTCCCTCACAGCGACCTTGATCGCATCGTCGACGATGCCGTCCGGGTTGGTCGGCATTCCGAACATGCTACAGATAAGTGTGCGTGCCGCATCGAACGAAAGCATCATGGACGAGGGTGGCGCCGCGCCGATGAGGCCGAGGCCACTGACGAGCGACTTTTTCTGGCCTTGCTTCCACGCCTCGGGGTCGTACAAGAGCATGTGAATGGTCTCAAGAACGCGGTTCCGAAGATGGGAGCGTCCGCCGGCAATTTCGTCGTGAGGTTTGACTTGCAGTAGACCGATGAGAGCATGTACCGGATCGAAATAACGGCGCTCGACTCAATGTTTTCTTGATCGACATGTGCAGCTTCTCAAAGATCGTGTCTATAGGCATACAACTATGAGCTTTCATCGCTATGGATGCTCGAACCTAGATCTCGACGGCTGCTGGGACCCACAGTTGAAAGTTGACAGCAGGTTCTTCTGGATGTCATCGCAGAGGTACCGGTCCGACGCCACCGCGCTCAAGAGCCGCTCGACCGTGCCCAGTAAATCGGGCGTCAAGTACGTCGTCGGAAGCGATCGCAACAATAGCGCAAGCAGAGGAATCGTGTGGCTACGGCGACACACAAACTAGACAGCAGTTTACATGAGATACAAAATCACGCTTGCTTGCACCTTGTTGGTCGTCGAATGACGAAGGGTCTCGGCGAGAAGTGAGATCATCTTGGGGATCGAGAGCGGCCCGAGCGGGTGCGTCATGGTTTGGCACGCATTGAAGTCCAGCGGTCCAGCTTCAGCCAGCGGCGACACAGAGAGCCGCAAAAAGATCATTGGACCGCCCATCTGCCACACCGAGTCCTTGAACGTCGAGATTGTCCGCAAGCGCACCGACGGAGCAGACCGATGTTCTCGCCATGGTGCACGTTGCTGCTCGCGTCCAAAAGCAGCTTGTGCTTCTCGTCGTAGCTCCGCGCATCAAAGGCAAAGACGAGGCCTTCGTGGGGTGCCCCGGCTGATGCTGGCGCCGACGGAGCTGCGGCCGCGCTCCCTCTACACACAGATCAAGTCTCGATGACAACACGGCGGGAGTGCGTACCCAGATAGCGGCGCCGACGCTGTGAGCGACGACGACATCACGGCAGCGTTAAACTGCAAAACGACGTTATCGTAGTCGTCGGCCGATTTGATGCTAGCGCAGAGAAACTTTAGAGAAAAGACGCATCGTGATGGTGATGTACCCTTCGAGGACCGAGGTGGCGAGCGGCTGCGAGAAGAACGCGATGGACCCGACGTGCGCTAAGAGGCACCGGTTGTAATTCTTCTCGGAGCGCCCCACGTAGCATTTCATCTTGGTGCCTGGCGTCGTCGCAATCGCGGGTTAGCCAAACCGGAACGACTGGCGCGCGTCACCGTTGACATACACGTCGAGCTTGGACCCGCGGAACTGACGGTTGGTGTGCACGATGCAGATCCATTGCCTGCAAGGACACTTAAATCAGAGAGGCCGCAGCTATGCAGGGCGAGTACCATTGAGCTATAACGAGAAAAAGTCGGATTCTGGGCATAACCCTTTTTCCCGCATGGTGATTGGCTAATATTCAGCAAGGTCCTGGGCGCGCCACGGAGGTCACACTTGCGCAGATATGGCATGCTGTGCATGACTTGGTGCTATGGAAAACATGAAATGACTTGTATTTATTAACGCTACATGTTATCCTAGAGGCCGCACTAGTTATGCGCAGAATCTTGGCAAATGTCACGATCTTGAGCTGGCAGACCCGACGCTCACGACCCAGAGGCGTCTGCTGCCACGTCGCTAATGAGTGGTTCGAGATGGTAGAAAATGCCTCCGCGGCCGAGGCGGAGCTCGACGGCTGGTCACATCGGCGCCGTGCACGGAGGCCAAGTTGCTCTTGAAGTGCTTCCTGACAAACTTCCACGCAGAGTAGATCTTGGCTTGGTTCGCCGAGAGGTCGGCGGGTTTGAACTTGGAGAACGCGACGAAGCGCCGAGCGGTAGCCGGAGAGCGCCGTCATTGCATTCTTGGCGCACTTGAACTTCCAGAGAAGGAACTCGTGTGAGTCGTCTTAGGTAAACGTTTCGAGGTTGATGGTACCGTCGGCGCTGAGGCGGTCGTCAAGCTCGGGCTCTGTCAGCTACTTGACGATCTGCCAGATACCGATCGCGTAGCTGCTCTTCGAGCATTTCGAGAGCCGGTTGTCATGCACGTCCTGGAGCGTGAGGGACTCTCATCGTTGCACCTTGACGTTGCGCAGCGCCGACTTGGGTGGGGCGGGATGATCCTCGCTCGTTGCGGCAACGCCGACGGTGCGCTCGAGGGTTGCATTGCTGAGTCCGGTGCTGGAGGCGTGTCTCCAGAAGCGGCAGCTACGGCGGCGCCGTCGTCGCAGCACTGCGAACGGAGCGTGCGGGCCTCCTTCTTGGGTGCTTTGTCATGGGCGCAAGTCAAAATGGCTAAAATTAGCCAATCAGAGGCGCGTTCACTCAGGTTCCGACTTTCTCCCATCAAAAAATCATGAAGTTGATTTGACTTGAAATTTGTATGATATTTAAAATTGTTGGAAGGGAGAAAGTCGGATCCTGAATCCGCCCTCAATTGTAGATGACGTATACGATTCCGACTTTTTACAGAGAATGGTGCTTGACGAGAGCGTTGGGCACTTGAGCTTCGTTGTACTCGTTCTTCTTGACGTCCAAGCTCGTGACGACGAGCGTCGTGTCCATAACGCTCACTTCGACCCCGACGTTGCCTTCGGTGCTAAGCAGATGACCATGAGGAGACCAACAATCGCACTCCTTCTCAATACCAAAACGAAACAGGGGCGAGTTCATCCCTGGCGACGACTCGACGCGGATCCACATCGAGGGCGTGTAGCCGGACGGCGGCAACGTGACCGTCTCCATCGAGGGCACGCCAAAGCCCGACTGGTCGCCCGAGAGGTCGAGGTACCACGACGGCCCTGGCGCGCTCCGGGCCATCATTCCTTGGACGCGATAAAGGTCGCGACCGCGTTGTCTCGGGGGGCACCTCCTTTCAACTACACATGATCATTGAGACTACGACTTCAAGTAGAAGGAGCAGCGTACCGCGACGACTGGAACACCTGCAGCGTCGCGCGGATATCGTCGGCCGTCGCCGAGTACTGCGCAATCTGCATCAAGAGCGCCAGGATCTTCTTCAAGATGGGCCGCGAGAAGCCGAGGAGGAGCGCATGCGCTTCGAGAGAAGCGACGATTTGGCGGTGGAAAGTGACTTGGATGCACGCTTGCGCGTTCGCCGCCTCGTGCTTGACCTCCGATATGGCGGGCATGAGGAGACGACGACGGCATGGCGGCAACGTACCATGAAGGTCAACGCATCAAGCAGCTCGATCTACATGCATCTGCATCAGCGTTGCGCGAGGTGCATACCAGTGGCTACCTGCTGCGGCTCGTCGACGACGCCGACAAAGTCGGTGAAGACACGGGCAAGCTGGTCGGGGAACCGGATCGTGCGCACGAGGGAGTCGATCGTGGACGCGTTCATGCCACCGACCGACATGACTACGATAGCAGCATCTCCATGAGCATCCGCTTCGTCTTCATGGAGAAGCATCATCTACCAAGGGTACTCCCGCAGAGATCCACGAGGTACGCGTCCATCGCATGCTGACAAATGGCCTTTGATGACGGCAGGGAAATCCCGCGACCGGATTGGCCTAAATTGGACCAAAACGAACGTCGGGGCCAGATGGATCGTTGGGCAGAGGTACGGCGTCGCTGGCCGTGCTTGGCCGCGCCGTCGCCGACGACAACCGTCGTGCGGCAGCTCCACGCTGGCGGCCATGGTAGCTGCATCCGCGTGCTGCCACGTCATGCGGCGCCAAGTGCGCACGCGACCAGGCAGCGGCGCCCGCGTCCATCCTCCTCGACGAGCAGGTCAATGAATGGCCGCGATGCTTGCCCTCGTCGTCGGTCGGCGTACATGCGCTCGACGAGCGCATCCTCCAGCACGCGCTCGTGGAGAAACACTTAAGCGTGCCTGCGCAAGTCAGCGCCCCGAGCTTTGGCGTATCCTTCGCGTCAAGGACTATGGTCGATGGAGAAGAAGAGAAAAGAGGGCGGAAAAGGATGTGTCAAAGGCCGGGGTCGTCGGCGCCATGGCGGCGCGCGCGGCTTGAAATCGTTCGTAGTTTTCCGTGCGCGCCCACTTGGTGATGCAGCGGTTGTTGATGGCCGTGCGCCGACCCTGGGCGTCGCGGTCCATAAAGTGCGCCTCGCCCGTCAGGTGATCGTGAGGCGCGTGTCGTTGCAATGGTCTGTCACAGCAACAGGCGTCGACGACGTCGAAGATCGCTATGTCGTGTCGCAGGTGGCACCAGCGGGTGCCACGTCGTGGCGGTGGCAGGCGGGACGTATCGCATCAAGCAAGCGTCGACACTAATGCTGCTCGAACATGCATAGCTAGTTGGCCGACAGGATAGCTAGTTGGCCGACAGGATGTCACGACCATCGCAGGTGGCATTAGCGTCGGTTGCATGTGCCAAGACATGGTACTTGACATTTGTATGCTAGAGAAAATGATTGTGGCGACTTTACATAAACTTCTTTTGGCGCAGGCAGAGATGGTAGCCTCGTCGTCGGTCGAGACCGTCCCCGGAAGCATCGAGATGGCCGACGCTGCGTACGCGTACACGGGACACCTTGTGCTCTCGTTCGACGATGAGACCGCGCCGTTGCATGGCAGCGTGAGCTGCTGGCTGCGCCGGTCGGGCGCGCTCACGCGGGCAGGCCGTCCGCGTCCTCGACTGCCAGCTCGCGTTCGCCGACGACAAGAACTTTCTCAACGAGCGCTTCTTCCTCTCGACGCCATCCGGGCAGCTTGTGACGGCTACGACCAAGTCTGCGGCCGACCGCGACGCGTGGCTCCTTGCGCTCCAGCTCGTCCTCGACAAGCGCGCGACGCCGAGTCCAGCAATCGTCGAGACATCGCTGTCACAACGCATAGCCAGCGCCGACGCGGTACTCGCGTGCTTCCGCGACTGGCACAAACTACTCGCCCTGCAGGCCAACGACCCCTTGGGGCTCTTCAAGGAGACGCGCCATTGGAGCCGGTTTGGGGCCAAGGACAAGGCTGCATACCACGACTTGCAGGCGTACATGGATGGCGGTGACATCGACGTATGTAACCTCGTCGCTGGGCTCTACACGTACACGACGTCGCCAAGTCGGACGTGGCGCATCTCGGGATGTACTGTCCGCAGATTCGGCCTTGGCCTCGCTTGGCGACGCTACCGCGCCGCGCGACTCTGTCGCGGTCATGGCGTCGTCGGCTGCGCGTGCCAGGTACTACGCTCTTCATAGCTCAGCAAGCGTCACATGTGCTGTGTGCTGTCGATGGTCCATCGCAAGGAATGTTCTTGCTGCCCACGCCGCCTGCGCGATCGATTTTCTATTTTTAGATCTTCAAATATCGAGCAGCCGCGAAACGGGTCACTTGATATTTGTATGGTCACTTCCGGCGGCAGCCCTCGGGATTGGTCATTCTCGAATTTGCCGGCCGACACGCTCGGGTACGATGCGCGGCCAGTTTTGACGGGCTCGTGGCCCATCTGGACAAGCACTATGGCGTGCGCGGCCAGACAAAACGGCAAGTGCCGTATCGGGACGTCTTCGACGCGGCCAAGACGCCACTCGAAGACCTTCCTGCGAACCTCTGGCCCGTGCGGGATGCACTGGAAGAATACTGTGATGCATCGACGTGGCAGCGGCTTGTCCGGGATCACAGCAACACCAAGGGCGTGCGTGCGAGCGCGTACGTCCGTATGTCCATGGCATCATATCTCATGGATACGTAGGATCCGCTGCGCCCGCAACCGAAACCTCAAGAACGACGCGACGGTCGCTGCGGTGTATGTACTTTCCCTCATGCATCGAATGGTTTATGCTCACAGACGCTGTAGAGCCAATGAGCCCGGAAGGGCCGGCAAGAAGCGCTGCAGCCCACTATGTACCGGCAATCTTTCCTCGTGAAACCAGGTTCTAACCCTTATGTATGCGTAGGCCGCGGGAGACGAAAATGCCGAAGACAGAGACCACCGCTGTCGTTGCTAAGCAGCTCCTGGCTGAGATGGATGCCCACATTGGCCAGGTCCTTGCCGGGCAAGCCGAGCTGCACCGCGGGCAGGTGGCAATTGCGCGCCACGTGACGACCGAGCGCGTCGCGACGGCGAAGGCCATCGAAGCGGTAAGTTTGCCATGAATACATACGCAACTGATACGCGCGCTTCGAAGGTCCGTAAGCACGAGGCCGAGCTGCCCGCGATCTTTTTGTCGCACTGCATTTTGACACGCGAAATGCTCGACCTGCCGATCGCGCGTCTTGAGCCAATACCAGACGAGTACGACGGCGACGTATATCTATACATCCGCGACACGGTGTCTGATAAAGTTGTCGTTGGTGACCCGTACCCCCTGCGCGTTCCGCGAGGGGTATGAGGGGTATGGTACCGCGAAGTACTCATGGGCGCCATCAAGGGTGTCATGGCCTGCTTGTTTCCGGCGGCGGTGGTCGGTGCTGCGCTTGCATCCTTGTCGATGCTTGCGCCACAGGCACCCGGCATGGTGCGGTCAGCCAAGCTACTGACGGACAAGGTGGTCAGCCGCATTTTGCCGGCACCATCTGCCCAAGATGCCCGCAAGGGCTTGCGGATCGATGAGATCAGCCAGCTCGGCGATCCGCAGCGGACGCACGGTGGAAGCAAGACGATCGTTAACCAAGACGGCGACAAGGTCCTCCGCGGCACTGCCGAAAGCATCGCTGCTTGTGAGCGCGAGATGGCAGCGACGGCCACCAACCGCTTGACGTAGGACCCAATTTTCCTTTTGTAATATAAGCGGACATTTGTCCTCGAATCATGAATGTCTCCTATCTCGTACCGGCAGAGTTTGACGACTAACTATCTCTAAACAATGATGTGACGACGACTTCTAATGTTTTGACGATTGTTGGTTGTGATGACGGCGAAGCAAGTGCGTCGTATGCGTTGTGGAACTCGCACATGTTCTCAAATCCTCAACGCACTTCTTCCCACACGGCGTGCGTGGAAGACAATGCGACGGTGTCGGAGGCAAGTAGTGCGACGACAACAAAGATTTGATTACAGCACTCGACGACTCGAGTCTTGGCGATAGCGAAAAGTACGCCAGTCGACTCGTAGCCGTCGTAGTGCGTGAGGTAGTGCAGCGTGACGGTGACGCGGTCGTTGATGTCCATCATATTGTGGCGGCGCAGTGGTGGGTGCGCGAGCGGCCAGGCAGACACGATGTTCATGCAAATGCATTCGAAGACGAAGCGCGTACACCGAAGATGGCAGCCAAACTACGCATCGAAAGGCGTGTCGTGCTTGACAGCAGACCACGTGACGCTTGGAACGGTGTACCGGTTCATGGGCAGCGCGCGAAAGCTGCGGCCGTCGAGCTTCGAGAAGACAACGGTGATGGCAACGGCGTTGGCGATGCAGACGATGAGCTCGACGTCCATTTTGAATAGTGAAAATTCTTCACCACGAATGCTGAACCGATTTGACTGGTTCTCGCTGACATGTATTTGGCAAATCAAATGGAGTTTCGACGATACGCATGGGAGTAGCGCATAGAAGGTATGCGCCATCGATAGACGTCGCAAGCGCCTCTGCTGTACGACGCCACTCATCGCATCGAGGACCCACGCTTGCCAGCCGGGTCGCGGCGCAGGGCCATCCATGCGCTGTCCTTAAAGTCCGAAAGTCGGCGTACATTCATGAACCGAACGCGATTTTCCAATCCGCGTAACAAAAAGCACGTATCGAAAAACCATGCAATCGAAGTTATGCGGATTTGCGATACGTGCTTTGAAAGTACGCGGCGAACCGAACGCACCCTCAGCCTTATCGTCGCCAATAGCAAATTCGTTCCCATGAGTCACTTGATCCTATTTGGCGGCAATTTTTTGGTTTGGACACCGGTAACCGCTCTTGCTACTGAAGTGAACGCGCTGTCGGATCGAAGGTGGCCGTATCGCTAACCGTTCTGGACGCGCAAGCGCATGACGTCGCGAAGGTCATGATGCTAGACATATCGCGCCCTCGCTCGCAGCGTCGCCGCAGGTCTTGGGAGCTTGGAGGGGCGTATCTCGGAGGCGATCCGGTGACCGACGTGCGAGAGAGGCCGTCGAAAATTGGTTGTGCTATACCTGTAGCGACGTCGCATGAGCGCCTCGGCCCGAGGCCTTCGCACGGCTTACCACGTACCACTGGTGGGCTGGCGCCGATGATCGGTTCGAGAGCTGCGGCAAGAACACTGCTGATTGGCTCCAAAATGAAATTCTTGCCGCTCTGATTGGCCACAAATTACCGTATTGTGCTCTCATTGGCTGAAACGCTCTGGCGTGGACGAAAATGAGGGAGACCGACAAGACACGCTGCATTGCGACCGAACGATACCTCATGATGGCGTGTGCATAGAGACTATTGATGGATTCTCCTTGAGCACAATGCAGCAGCGTCAGTGGGGCCCAAGGAGCCTCGGCGTCGTCTTTCTGGCGTCGCCTGTGGTTGCTATTGGCGTTCGCCATTTACAACCATAAATAACCATATTTTGGTGTTCCTAGGCCCGCCGCGCCGGCGGATCGACCAGTATGAAGTTTAAAAATGAAATCGCTCATACTTACCAGAGCGCTAGACCACACTTTGGGGAGTCCAAAATGCCATGTGGCGTCGCCGTGCGAGCTCTGTAGCGAGAGGAAATGACGGCGGAAACAATATTTAGATATAGTGTTCTCTTTCTCTATACCGAAATACTGTATCATGATACGAGGCCTCATCACACAGCGGTACCGCGCGCACTTTGCCTCCTTCGGTCACATGTAACACGCTCTTAAACATGAACAAAATGAGATGGCGTTCTCGGTTTCCGGGACTTCGACGCATTTTCAACCGAAATTGCATGTCAAATTTCGTAAAATCCGACGCTCGGCAGTTCGACTTTGCTGTGAGAGCCCAAGCGCCTACCACGTCCCAAACGCAGCTTGCTGGGCCAGTCCATATACATAGCCAACTGTGGCTGCCCGCGTCGGAGTCGGTCGAGTTTTCGAACTGCGCGAAAACACGTTGTGCATCTGGGCGTTTATTTGACCGCTCGAAAAATCAACGTTGGGATTCGCATGCATGCGCTGCGTTCGGCGTCCAAACCTTCATCTCCATGATAGAAGGATGCTATAGAACGACAGGAACCGGTGCAGCCTCGCGTTAACGCGTCTGTGCGGCGTCGATCGTAGTAGAAGTGGTCAATCGCACACTATTTAAAATCTATCATCCTGATATACTGTTATGTGTATGGATACTCTGGAAAAGCGTCGTTTGGTGCGCGGCGGGCGGTATGTTGTGCTGTGCTGGCAGCGGTCTCGGGCCTGGCTGCCATGTGCAAGCAACAGGACGTCATGCGTGAGGTGCTCGATGTTTTATCCGGCAGACTCGATGTTGCGAGATGAAGTGCGCGCAGCACCTACTGGAGCACCGACGTCGCCATAGCTTACCGTCGTGTCGCCCATTTTGGAGTATTGGCGTCCGGATATTGTCCAGATACTTCGACACGACGCAACGAGTGCGATTCACTCTCCTCGCACAGGCGCTCGAGGTTGTCGCTGTCGGCGTTCGTCTCGGCGCATCGACTGCATACCCCACAGCGTGTAGGCGTCCAAAGTAGAAGCAGTGGTCTTTCTACCGCTACGGCGCCGATGGCTGCAACCAGCCACGACCCGACAGATTGACACCTCCGCGAGCCTCTTTCGCGTCTGTGTACGCTGTACACCTGCGCCAAGTGACCTGCGTCAAGATACAAGCGCCGGCGCTGAATGGTTGCGACGTTGCTCAAAATGTCACTGGTACCACCAATCGTACGTGGTGAGACATCGGTTCTCGGCAAGAAACATTCGCGTGCTGCATGAGGGCACTGCGATCTTTGCAAGCGCTTGCCTGATGAACCAATGTCCCGCATTGAAGCGATGCGTGACGAAAGAAGGACCTCTGCCACACGAGTTTCGCCGTCCACAGTCGACAGGATGCCCGCTTGCGACTGCCCTGCCGTGCGACCGAGGCACCGCGTCGCACGGCAGGGCGGTCGCATCTTGAGGTGTGCTCAAACTGCAATTTGCGCTCCAGTGCCTCGGTCGCACGGCACTGGAGCGCAAATTGCAGATTGAGCCCCTCACGGGTTTTCCAATTGTCGCGTAAAAGCTCTGTGTTTCGCCTTTGTCGTGCTCGTTTTTACACTTGTTTTTACACGACTGAACGTTTGCTGGGAAATGGGACCTTTTCCGAGTGCCAACTGCGTGCCACAGCGCTCATTTGCATTTTAACCGGTAAAGAGCGCTTTCTATTTGTCGTCGAGCATTGCGGGTGTTGTACGACTGCAGCGGCAGCGTAGTGGGGCTTGCTCTGCTCCTCAAAGTGTCTTGTATCACCGCGCCAACTATAGGCGATTCCGTTTGAAACATGATGGTGTCGACCAGTGGCGTCTGCATTCTGGAGTGGCGCCTCTAAGATCTAATAAGATCTAAGATGGCACTAGGATCTTGGTTGGTGTATATCGTGCCTCTCAGATGACACTACAATCTTAGTTAGGCGTGCATCTTGGATCGCGCCGCGCTGCCACTGTACGCCTCGCTCGTCAACGCGACCTCGCATTTCGTGCTCTCCACGGCGCCGTCTTCCAATAATGTGCCAAGTCGTGGCGAGTTCAATTTCCAACGCAATCTGGTCGACCGCGCCACCTGGCTATGCGTATGAGCCAAGTGGGAAATCCATGAAAAAGGAGATTACGAATTCGCGTTGTCTTGCTCGTGTTTATAGAGCCCAGTGTAAGTGCGCGTTTGGTCGATCGTGTCGCTGGGTGCGTACAGGAATGCTAGGAGATTTCTCCAACGACTAGGTTCATAGTAGTTGATTGCTTAAAAGACGACCGAGTTGCGGCCATAGCCGTCGGCACCCATCGGCGTTGCGGTCTCGAGGACCTTGATCGTGTCGTTGATGGCGCGAACCCACTTTTGCGCTTCGGCGGGTGACGGCGCAATGAAGCGCGAGACTTCTTCCGTGTTGGCGAGCAAGCCGGGGCTCACGACATGCAGGTCAAAGGTGTTGCCGCGCGCGTAGTTGACAAAGACGTTCCGCGCCGAGGTCTTCGCCAAGTCGACATAGCCCCGCACGTGCTTGAGGTCGCGCTGGCTCTTGTACCAGCAGAGGCAGCCGCTGGCCTCGATGCTGCACCAGACGAACTTGCCCTTGCAGAAGGGCTCGAGCGAGAGCGGCTCGAGCTCGAGGTACCCCGTCTGCATCGGGGTTGGCGCGTTGTACGTCTGCGTCATGCGCACGTGATCCTCGCTCGAGAGCGGGATCGATTCGTCGAGTACCTCGGCCTTGGACGAGTCGCGCTTGTCCGACGAGGCCGTCGACGACCGCGACGGGATCGGCCGCGCCTTTGCCAGCGCCGCCTTGAGGTTTTGCGTCAGCTCCACGAGCTGATCCTGGGCGAAGCTCAGGTTGTTCTTGAGATCGTTGCGCCGCATCATGTAGAGCGACGACTTGGCCAAATCGGCCGGCGCTTTCGAGTTGATCTTGGCGAGGACTGCAGCGAGGTCGTCTTGGAGAGACGCAATATACTGCTGCACGACAGCGATCTCGTGCCTCGCCTTCTCGACGTCGGGCGACGTGATCTGAGCCAAATGGTCCTGCGCGGCGGCGAGGTGTTCTTTGACGATGCTGCGGCGGCGGAGGAGCTCGGGCTTCTGGGCCGTCGACGCCGTGGGCTGGGCGACGGCCGACACAATCTCGCGCTACCGACGACATGAGATTAGTTGCAACATACGTTGGGTACCAGCTCCTGCTTGAGACCCGCAATGCGCTTTTCGACGGCTGGCGCGTCCATGGTCTCTGGCATCGCTTCGCTCGGCGGGCGTGACGTCGGCGCGTCCGTGGATGCCGTCGTGACGGCCGACGTTCGTTGCAGAGCTTCCTGCGCCGTGAGGATCGCCTGCTTGAGCTCTTTTCGCCGGGCCATGTAGTGGCTACTGCTCACGCTGTCCTTGTCTTTAGTCGTCTTCATGAGCTCTTGCACGACGTTGCGCTAATTCGAGGCCATAAGATCGCTCTCAGTGCAGCGTCGTCGTACCAGCTCGCGCTTGCGCCCCGAGATGTACATGGTAATCTCGGCTGGCGACGCGTTCGGGTGCAGTGGCGCGGGCGCCGGTGGCATCTCGGGCACCAGCTGCTGCTCGAGGCGCGCGATCTTTCCTTTGAGGTCGGCGCGCTTTTGTAGTAGCGCACGGAACGTCTTCTCGTGCGTCGTCTCTTCGAGCCGCGTGCCGACGGCCTTGAGGTGCTGCTTGAGCTCCGCAAGCTCGGAGCGCAGGACAGAGCTGTCGCGCTTGGCGTCGGCTTCAGCGCGTGCGATGCGCGCGTTGAGCTCCGAGAGTTGTCGTCGGTACCGGTCCTTTGTGAGTCCATCCAGTTGAGGCGCTCGCATTGCTTCCTTCACGACCAGCTACGTAGAAGTGACATGAGAGCGCGCGGGTATAACGCCACGGACGAGTTCGTGCTCGAGCTGGTCGAGAGTCAAGGACGCGTAGTCGGCTGGGTCGTGCAAGCGCATGCCATTGCTGCTGTTGCTGCTGCTGCTGACGCTGCTGTGGCTCGAGACGCCGCGTCCTTCGACCGAGTTGGACCGGCGCTTGCCCTCGGAGCTCATGGACGAGCTGCCCGAGTGCAGCTCTGTGCCGCCAAACCGCCGCCGGGCGTCAGCGTGCAGCTCGGTGTGGTTGAGCCGGCGCGCGTCGACATCGGGGCGAGCGAGCAGCTCGGTTGCGTTGAAGCGCGCGCGGTCCATGTCGCCAACGAGCAGCTCCGTCGAGTTCATGTGCGCCCGCTGCTGTAGGTAGTCGTGCGGCGCCGAGTCGTTGCTGCTGCTTTCGGATCGCAGGCCGTTGCTGCTGGCGCTGCTGCCGTGCTGCCGATCTTGGAGCTTGGCGATTCGTTGTTTGATGTGCTTGCGGCGCTGCTGCAGCATGATGTTGTCGACGTCCTTGGTCATGGCCATGACCACTTGCTTCAGCTGCGACTTGAGCTCCTCGAGCGAGAGCCCTTCGTCGCGCTTGGCGCGTTCCTTCAGGATCTCTTGCTGCTTGGCCACGATCGCCTTCTTGAGCTCGTGCTTCTGCGCGAGGAGGTCTTCCATCGCACAGCCGTTCGGCTCTGCGATCCGCTTGACGACGGCCCGCTACGATACCATTTTCATATCGCAGATCCCATAGCAGCTCGTACCAAGTCGTTCTTGAGGTCGTCGAGCGACGGAGTCGGTTTGGCGGCGATGACGAGCCGGTCCGTGGCGGCGCTCAGTTCTGTTTGAAGCTCGGCAGCCTTGCGCTTGTAGTGTATCTCACGTGCACGGTCGCCTTGGGCGGCGGCCTGCGTGGCTTGTGCCATGGCGGCGCGCTAAAACCCACGCTTCGCAATGTAGAAATGCCATCCGAAATGCGTACCAGTTGTTGCTGGAGGGCCTCGACAAGCACTTGATCTTGGGCTTGCGAGACCGCGGCCTTGAGGCGGGTTCGGTCGCGATGCAGTTTGGAGATGACGTGGGACTGGGATCGTGGTGTGCTCGCGAGCTGCGCCGACACGATGCGCAGCTCCTTCTTGAGCTGCTCCAGTCTCCTTGCCGCAGACACGTCGTCGTCGTTCTCGTTGTCCGTGTCGACGTCGTTGTCGTGGAGCGACCGAATCGACTCGGTGATCCGGTCGACGTCTGACGCCGACGGCTGCTCGTCATGGAGCGAGTTGAGCGAAAGCCGCTGCGAGTCGCGGACCACCGAGAGCGCGTCCGTGAGCTGCGCTGCAAAGCCATGGTCGGGCGACTGCACCGTCGGCGGGGTCTCGACCGCCGCCACAGGCGCCATGTATGTTGGCAGTGGTAAAAACGGCGCTTGCGGGGGCGGTGGCATCTGCGGCATTTTAGGCACCGATGGTGACGCGTCCAGCGCGAGCAGCGGCGGGGCTACGGTACGAGGCACCTGCGCGGGCATCGGAGGCGACTCCGACACCGGCGACAAGCTCTCGGCAAACTCGACGGGCGTACCGGGGAGGTCGGGCGAGTCGACGAACGCCGACGTCCGAAAGTCGTTGGCGTCGTACTCGTCGTCGTCGTCATCGAACGCGAGGCTTTTCCTTGCGAGGGCTTGGAGTGGCGACCGGAGGATGTTGCTGCTTCGGCGCCCACCGAGCGCTTCCATGTGGACGACCTCCTGCATGCGCTCGCCCGTTGTCTGCAGCTCCTTCTTCAAAAACGCTTTGCGAGCGAGGTACATGGCGCGGTCGTCGTTGACTGTCGTCTTGGCGATCGCATCGACCGTCTCTCGCTACGATGGGAGATACAATAGGAGGAGGTTAGGAGAGCGATAGGTACCAAGGCGTTGCGTAAATACGACGTCTTGCGCTCGAGGAGGTCGACCTCGGTCGAGCAAGAGAGCTGTGTGCCGCGGGCCGACCGCTTCGACGCGAGCTCGTCGTGGACGACTTGGATCTCGGACTTGAGCAGATTGCGCCGGCGCAAGCCTGCTTTCGCCATCTTCTCGTTGCCGCGCTTCTCGGCCTTGGCGATCGTCGCCACCGTCTTGTGCTACACCCAGCAGCGTCAGCATGGAGAGGACGTGAGTCGAGAGTACCAGTTGATGCCGGAGCCACTCGAGCTTCATTTCGAGGTCGCGGATCGAGCTTTCGTTGCTGGAGGTGCCGAGAATCGCGTCCGAGGACGCAGCCGCGAGGGCGACGGCACTCTCGCGACTGTTCATGTCTTCGAGGTGGCGCGAGAGCTGGTTGACCTCCTCTTGGGCGAGCTTGGCCTTGTCCTGCTCGACTTGGAGCGCTTCCTGGAGCTGGAAGTAGAGCATGTGGCAGTAGTCGATCTTCTGCAACGGCGGGCCCGTGATGTTGTACTCGTCCAAGAGCTGGCTGCTGGAGATGCGCTCGGGCGTCGCGACCTCGTCCTCGAGCTCCACATACATGCGATCGAGCAGCGCCGTGCGCTCGGCAAACGTGTCCTGGAGCCGCTTGTTCTCGACGCCGAGCTGCTCGATGGTGTCCAGGAGCTCTACACACGATGGGTGAGGGACGCAGTGCGGCATAGCGTACCTTGTTGGCGCGCGGTGAGGCTCTGGCACTTGGTGATTTCGGCCGGCTGGATCGTGTGACGGCGCTCGAGCTCGAGCTGGTCGAGGTGGGTTTGGAGACCGTCCTTCTCGGGCACGAGGCGGGCAATCTCGTGCGTGTAATTCGTCGAGACCATCCGAAGAACCTTCATCTCTCTCTCGAGGACGCGGCCCTTGGCAATCGATGCCGCCTCGTTGAAGACGAGGTGGGTGGTGTCCATGGCCCACACCTCCTTGTGCAGCTGCGTGACCACGAGCGTCTTCATGTGCTCCGACTCGATCGCACGCAGCCGCAGCTTGTTCTCTTCCTCGGGCTCGAGCTCGGTCTCGTCCTCTTCGTCGTCGACCGGGTCGCCTTTCTGCCGCAACACGCTGCATGAGCCATACGAAGAAGAGAGAGGAGCGCGCGTACGAGGCCGCGGCTAATGTCGCAAAAGCCGATCGTGACGGGTCGCGGCGTCTGGCTGATCTTCTCGATGACTTCGTTGTACGAGTAGCCGGCAATCGACGTGCCTTGGATCTCGACCATGCGGAAGCCGGGGTAGATACGCCTAGGTCGGCGATGCGATGAAGGAAGCGCCGTTGGCGTACGTACCGATCCGGCTTGACGCTCCAGTTGTACATCTCGGCAGGGCTCGGGAGGCCGCTCGCGAGCTTGACGAGCGCGTGAATCTCGACCTGGAACTGCTGCCATGGAATGTCCGGGCCTTGCACGATCGAGCGGAGGTTCATGCCGAGCTTGCCAGGGCCAAACTCGATGTAGATGAGAAGCTTCCACGCGTAGAGGTGGCCCGTGCGCACGAGCGGCGGGACCCACACTGCGCCGCCGGACGGCTGGATGTAGTAGAACTTGCCCGGGTGCGACGAGCTCTCCTTGTGCTGCCAGCCGTCGGGCAGCGGCGAGTGGTAGTCGCCGAGCGTCGCGCCCTTCTGGCTCGACGTACCGCGGGGCAGCGCGCGGTAGCGGCCGTCGATGGCCACGAACTCCATCTTGTGCAGGTCCGTCTCGGGCTTGGCGTCGTCGTCCGCGTCGTCGGCCATCGCGTCGTCTTTGGCACGAGTTCGAAATGGCATCGCATGCATTTTCGCACCCGACCTCCGATGACCAGTTGGTTGCCGGCCAGATGATGACGCCGTTCGGGACGGTGCTCCTGCACCGAGAGCATCGCCCATGCTTGCATCTCGATACTATAGTAGCTGGCGCCGAGGTACAATACGCTCTCGGTCGAGGGCGGCATGGCGCTCGATGCTCGGCCATTATCTGGTTGTACGAGTACGGCGGAGCGTACATGGCAGCAATCAATGTACGGCGTGAAACGGGTTCGTTGAAGTCAAGCCGCGTCGCTGAGGCGTGCGCATAGAGCCCGAGCTGGAGTAGCAACCGCAACGGCCAGGCGACCGAGCGATGCCACGTTGCAGCGACTCGGAACGATCGAGGTGCGAAGACGCGCGTTCGAACGCGTCAGCAGATGCGTTCCCGCCACCTCTGGCCGCGTTCGCATTGGCAGCGCCACCATCTGGCTCGCCGCTTCGTTCTCTCGCAGCGCAGCTCCGCCTTCTGCTTCGACAAGAAGCGTCAACAGCGTTGCACAGCAGAGGTCCATGGACTGCTGTTCTGTCCTTGGACGTGGGTGGTCGAGCTTGCAAGCCGCATCGGGACCTTGGAGGCGTGCTCCATGCAGCTAGCGCACAGCGGCAATGGTGCCATGTAGGCGGCAGGAGGCATGTCGTGGCATCGGCCCCACCCACTGGGTCGCACCCTGGGTCGCACCCGTCTTTGCATGCTGCGATGCCATTGGCTGCGATTGCGATCTTCGGGGTTTGGCAAGTGCAATAATATTGCATAGAGGCCTTGTGCTATTTTAATGCGGAAAACCAATTCGGTCAGGTCCATGAGCGGGTTCTTGGGGCGGCGCGCGTCCGTGTCGGCGCCGATCGCGGACGACAACGTCGCGCTCGAGGGCTGGCTCAAGAAGCGCGGCCACCACTTCTTCTCGACGGTCAAGACGCGCTACTTCGTGCTCCTCAAGGACGGAGCGCTCGTCTACTTTGCGGACGACAAGCGCAAGAAGCAGAAAGGCGCTGTCCGCGTCGCGATCCAAGACGTCGTGACGCCGACGACGACCAAGGACAAGGCAGCGACGTCCCCGTCGCCATTGCTCTGGCTCAGCGTCGCCTGTAGATGTTTGCGTTCCAGCTCAAGAAGACCTCGAGCGACCACGACGCCAAGCCGTTCGTGCTCACGATGCTCGCAGCGACCGACGCCGAGCGCACGTGCTGGGTACTCTCGATGGACCAAAGTACATGGCTCATAGCGGCGGCAGATTGAAGCGCTGCGCAAGGTCATGGCGGCGTCCGTCCCGCCGGTGCGCCTCACCATGATGCTGCGCAGCACGACGTTGCGTGCGTCGTCGACGCGGTCGCTGGACACGGGCGCGTCCGACGTCTTTGGGATGCTCCTCGAGATCGGGAAGCTCCAGCAGCTCGTGCAAACGGCCAAGACCGAGTGGGGCGACGACCCGCTGCAGTGGACGTCGGACCAGGTACACTGCGCGTGGTTTCGTTCGAATGGACCTCGATACGCTCGCTGCTTAGTACCTCGAGCTGTGCCGCAGCATCGTCTTCACGCACGAGCAAGCGGCCGGGCTCAGCTTGAGCTTGCTGGAAAACCAAGTGCTCCAGGAGGCCCTCGAGCTCCGCTACAAGTGCGTCGCGACGAGTTGAGCCGACCGACTCACGAGGCTGCTCTAGGTACGAGGACGCCCACGCCGCACGCTTGCGGCTCTCGTCGGCCGACGTCAATGGGCTGTCAGCGTTGTCCACGACGCCGCCGGACGAGGCGCCAGTGCTAGTGGAGGCGCCAGTGCTGGTGGAGATGCCAGTGGAGACGCCTGCGCCGCTGCTGCCGTCTGGCACACGCAAGTACTTTGAGACGCTGGACCCGGCCTTTGTGGCCTTGTCGCCGCGCTCCAAGACGATGGCCAAGTACACAGCGTTGTACCAGCAGGTACTGTTTTGTGCTCGCTCTAGCGTGATGCGACGGCCCGTGCAGGAAGCGCTGGCGGCCAAGCGGTCGTGGAACGCCCATCGAGAGCTCGACGACGACCTGCTCCAAGTGCTGGACGCGCCCATTACGACCGACGATCTCGTCGACGCGCTCGCTCGGCGCTTCGAGGTACCACGCATGTTTCTGCGTTGAAAAGTTGTTTTAGTAAAAGGACTAGGCCGACCGCGTCTACACGAGTGTGGGCGACACGCTCTTGATGGTCAACCCGGCGCCACGTCTCTTGCACCACACGGCCGGCAACTCGATCTACGACGAAGCCACGGTGTTGTGGTACGCAGATATCTGGAGACAAGAAATCGATAGCAGGCACCGACTAGGTACCGCGACCATGACGTCGCGGTCTGCAGCCCGCACCCGTTTGCGCTGGCCAAGCGGTGCGATCGTTTTCTATCAAGTTGATACAAAAAGAAGATGCGTAGAACGCTGTCGAGCGTGCTGGACATGAAGGAGCCCGAAAGCATCGTGCTCATGGGCGAGTCAGGCAGTGGCAAAACGGACTTTGCCAAGCACGTGCTCAAGTACATTGCGACGATCCAGCAAGCGCCCAAACCGCCGACGGTATACTTGAATACATCGGCGGACTAGACACGAACGCGGGGGCTAGGTGCAACTCTTTACAAGCTCGACCAAGAGCACGATCAAAATGCGCAGCGACGAGGCGCACCTCATGGACCTCCTCGCGTCCAAGCAGTATGCAATCCTATCTATCCATGTCGGGTTTCATACCAGGGGTAGGGTTCAGTACGAGACGATTTACTTGGACATTACGCCCGAGCGCTGGCCCGAGATGCTCGCCGTGAGCCACGGTGTCAAGCAGTAGGTCCTTGCCGCCGCGTGTGACGCGTGACGCGTCATCTTGTAGACTGCCGCAAGTGCACATGGACCACATGTTTTTTGGCGTCTGCAAACGATCCAAGTATCAAGCGACTAACGAGCGTGGTGTAGTCGTACGACGAGCTCCAGCGCCTCGAGGACGAAGAGCAGTTTGTGTTTTACGTCAAAAACCCACGCGTATTACATCGCGACGCGTATCTCGGTCTGTCTCATATAACGACATAGGCCGCGCGCCTCTTGTCCGTCCTCCTCGATGGCAACGTGCTGCTCGAGGCCTTTGGAAATGCGACGACGGTAGCCCTCTCGTGGGACGCGCGGTGTGCCACGCGGACGCTAGATGCACAACCCGAACTCGTCGCGCTTTGGCAAATCGACGGCCTTCCGCGTGCACACAACGACGGGCCACCTCTACGGTTTGCGCATCGCTCTCTCGTGATCATCAAAGGGACCTGTCATCAGGCGGCGCGATCACGCCCTTCTTCCTCGAGACGTCGCGCGTCACCAACGCGAGCGCAGACAGTACGGAAAGTCTCGCGACACAGGATTGATCGTCCTTGCGTAGCCTTCAACTTTCATATCTTTTACGCCCTCCTGCTCGGCGGCAGCGCGTCGCTTCTCGCGGAGCTGCGCCTCGACGCTGCGTCGCCCCTCGCCTTTGCGTACGCCACGTCAACGAAAAGCGTCTTCTGAAGAGGCGTGTGTAGATACCTCGGGAATGCCCGCTCGAGCACGATCGCGTCGTCCGTCGTCTGCTAGTGCGAGTGTCGAGCGTTGACGGAATGCTACTCGTGTAGGAGCGTCGCGTCGTACGATGAGGACCGCCAGCGCTGGCACCAAGTGCTGCGCTGCTTTGACCTTGTCGGCGTCTCGGAGCTCGATCGTCTCGCGATCTTCCGCGTGCTGGCAGCCATCTTGCACCTTGGCAATATCCCCTTTGGTACTGATTATAGGCTGTCTTTGTATGGGCGATGACACGCATGGATGCAGACGACGTACTCAACGCGCAGGGCGTTGCCGAAGGCGTGCGCATTGCCGACAAGAGCGCACTGGATACGATCGCCCGCCTCCTTTCGGTCATTGGACTCGGATGCATAAGCACATGTGCTGAGACGCGCGATGTAGCTGGCACCTGCTGCGATCGAGCACGCGCTCTGCACCAAACGGTAGGTCAAGCGCTCGCTTCGAACTCATGTCATGGTATTATGTCGACAGCCTCAACGTGGCCAAAGCGTCCGAAACGTACGAGCTCCACGTGCACCGACCCCACGCGATCAAGGCCCGCGACAGCTTGGCTCGGTAGCCGTCGCCTCATTGGAGTGTGCACTCAGACGTTTGCGTAGACTGCTCTACGACGGCCTCTTCCACGCCCTCGTCGCGCTTCTGAACCGGTCCACGGCGCCCAGCGCGGACGCGGTACACCGAACGACCGCCCGGCAACTCGCGTTGAGTTTCTGCGTAGCCAAAGGAGCTCTGCGACGTGACGCTCCTCGACGTCTTTGGGTTTGAAGACATGCAAGTCAACTCGTTCGAGGTACCGCCTCTCTCTCGGAAGAGTGCTACATGGAAGCGTAGCAACTGTGCATCAACTACCTCACCGAGAAGCTGGCCGTCTTGCACGTGCAGTTTGCGAGCGAGGCGCAATGCGCGCTGTACTTTGCCGAAGGACTGGACGCGCTCTGGCCGACGCACCACGGCAGCCTCCTCGTGCACGAAGGCTCGGGCATGCAGGTCCTCGAGAGCGCCGTCGGTGTCTGGGCCTGCCTCGAGGAAGCCACGCTGCTCCACGGCAACGAGCAAGACGCCAAGCAAGCGAAGAATAGGTGCCACCATAGATCTCTGCTGGAACTCCTCTGCATCCCCAGTGGTCGTAGCCGCTTTGTACGCGCGCTGTACCTGCGCAACGCGTCGCATGACGGGCTGCGCGTCGAGCCCGATCCGCTGCAGTTTACCGTTCTCCACCACCGCAGCGCCGTCACGTACACGTACGATGCATCGACCAATGCGCTCGGCGAGGACAGGACGCATGTAGCGCGATCAACTTTGTGGCGAAAAACAGCGAGGCGCTCTCGGGCGAATTGCAAGCGCTCGTGCCAACGTCCGAGAACGCGTTTGTCAAGGTGCTTGGATGGCAGCAACGTCGTTTCCACTTAAGATCTTAGGCGCTGCTGACGCACCACACGCTGCCGAGTGCCTCGAAGCGGCAGACACCGAGCGTGTCGAGCCAGTACCGAGCCCACGTGATGGCGACGCTGGCGGCGCTGCGCGAGACCAAGCCTCACTTTGTGCACTGTTTCCGCGCGCGCTTGCCGTCATCGAAGGTATTACCTTGTGTCGAATTCGATATGGCTGAGACGTGGGTAGGACTACTTTGCACTGGATAAGCCGCTGCTCGAAGCGCAGGTCAAGGGCCACATGCTTGCACAAGTTGCGACGTGGGCGAGCTTGCTCTTTCGGCACCACACGCTTCTCGCCGTCTTCCACCAGCGCTACCGAATGCTTTTTCCAGGTCACGGATTGGTTCATGCATTGATACATCGATACGAAACGCAATTTCAGGTCCGATCGAGTCGCTCGAGAGCCAGGTCGAGGCGTTTGTCCACGAAGCGTTGCCGCACGAGTACGTTATGTTTCTTTGTATCAATGTATCGAGTGCGGCTAGGGCCCGAGGCCGCAGTTTTGCGATCGGCGCGACCATGATCTTCTACTCGGACGCACTGCAGCTCGTGTTGCACCGGCAGCGCGACCGGCTGCGCGCCGACGCCTGCCTCGTCCTCCAATCGGTACTCGTCGTTTGCTGTGCAGCAACCCAATATTGTGTCTAGACGGTGCGCATGTGGCGGGCCAAAATGCGCGTGCGAGCGATTCGCCAGTCGCTGCGGTGCGCGACATCTCTCGACTCTTTCCAACCAGTGGAGTAGGCAATACCTTGAGGCGATCACAGCGTTCTACGCCAAGTACAACCCCGCCAAGCTCTCGCAAGGTTGGTCTTCGCAAGAAATCGTTGGTCAATGCCGGTGGGAGTAGTGCCGACGATCGTCCGCGCCTTCCGCGGGCGCGAGGCCGACCTCCTCGCCAAGCTCGAGCGCAAGTACGCGCACACGGGGCCGTCGACCGAGCACGAGGTCCAGGACACGTCGCTCGAAGCGTTCATTTTAAGCGTCAAGTTTGATGCGGCGACCGTCCAGAAGGTGCGCTGGTACCGCCATCGGAGGCGTAAGCTATGTGTAGATGCTTCTCGAGCCCAAGATGGCGCTCTTCTTGTCCGAGCCGAGCATTCTCCAGGCCTTGCGCGAAGGTTGCAAACGCGTCGTACGACAGAGGTGCTTGATATCGCGCTGTAGTGAGCTTGGACCCGTCGGTGATTTACCTCCAGACGTCCGAGCCAGTGCTGCGCCTCTTTTACACGGAGCTGCGCAAGTACCTCATGCCTGCGCCCGACCCGACGCGCGTCGTATACCAGCGCTTACCCCTCCAAGACGCGGTTGGTTGTCAAAGCACTTGGTCTTTGATCTCACAGTGCACGCTGCAGGTCACGCTGCTGGCGCAGAACCGACTCATGGTGCCGACGCCAACCATGTCGGAGGACCAGAGCCGAGTCATTCGAGAGGTACCCTTCTTGTATAGACGTACGTTGCCGCATCGTCGTCTAGTTGGCCGCCGCCCCGCAGTTGCTGCCTTTCCACATCGACGAGCCCGGCGTCGCGGACCTTCTCCGTGGCTTCATCGTGTACGAGCACGCGGATCACGTTCCCCTAAATGATACCTTCTTGTCTTGTAGAGCCATTGACGGAGACATTTCGGACATTCCAGAGGCGCCCGAGCTACTGCCGGTCATTACACCGATCGTCGAGGGTGGTGCTGCGCCAGACGTCGAGGTTGCTGCACCGGCCGCGGAGGCCCCTCGTGAAGAAGTGCCTCTTGAGACACACGGTGAGCCACGGACGAGCAGCCTTCCGTCGCAGCGCTTCCAAGACCTCTCGCTACAAGAGGCGGTGTGTACTCGCTCGCTCTTGAGCACTCCTGCTACGGAATCATCGTAGGTTGAGCGGCTCGCGACCGCGCGCTTGCTGTGCCCGACCGTGTCCATGACGCCGGACGAGCAGGCCATCGTGCTTGAAGTACGAATGACCTCGTTGTACACAGTGTATGCAACCGCAGTCGTAGATTGCGCAGGACCCGTCGATGCTAGCATTTCACGAAGACGACGCGGCCGTCTGCGAGCTTCTTCGCAGCATCTGCAGGTAACCTGGACACACGAATACCTGCAATCGACGCGAGTGCAGACTGGTCGATGACGTCATTGCTTCGGCGTCCGAGCCCGTGCGCGTCGAGTCCGAGACAACCCCGTTGGAAGCGCCATTGACTGCTGCGATGCCAACCGCCACAAGCCCGCCAGGGACTGAGCCGCTGCTCGCAGTAGCTACGCCCGCAGGTGTGACCGAGACGAACGATGCAGTGCCGGTACCTATCCTCTCACTGGCAACGCTCATGTCCGAGGCCGTGTAGGTTGTGGAACTCAAGCGCATCAAGTTTACGCAGAAACTCATGAAGCGTGTCATGAACGATGACGGTATCACTCACTTCTGCAGCACAGAATGTCCGATTTCACTAGAGCTCATGGGCCTCATGGCCGAGCCCGTCGTGACCGAGTTCTTTGAAGAGGTACCTCATCACTGTACTGCGGTGGCCTCATGCGGTTCAGTTTTCCGAGGACATGTCCAAGACACCAACGATCACGTTTGCTGGGCACGAGACGGCGGTCATTGCCTTTTACAAGCGCCTCCTCCAACTCAGCGGTGTCCACTTTTGAGCAGACAGTCCTTCGTCGCATTGCCTCAGAGTATCCACTTTGCATACACTTCGTGTCTGAGAAGAATGAATTGCACAGACATCAACAGTCCCGACCGAGAAAGGTCGGTCGGGGCGAGCAGTCGGAGCGTTGAGGGTGACGACGGTCGTGTGATGGGTACCCGTCTTCTGGATGTCCATGGACGCAGAATGGATGACGGAACGGCACTTTGCCCCACACAGCTGCTCGACATCATTCGCCGAGCTAATAGCTTTACGGTACTCGTGTGTGCAAATGAATTGGAGGAACAAGACAATTGCGAGTCTTGCCACTGGGCTGCGTCCGCCGAGGATGGCTCTTCGGTCGGCTTCGCTCGTGGGCTTTGTTGAATCTTGGCGGTGAGGCGCTCACTTTAGCGTGTCGGGTGCAACCAGCTGGCTGGCTTCCACGGGTCGTCAGGGGCACGCATCCGACACTGCTTCGATTGCGTTCATTAAAATATCTTTATATGTGTATGGGATTCTTTAAAATCGAAGCGGCGTGGCGCCAAATCACCTTGTGACAGCCTCCGATCCGGGTCCATTTTCGTCCTCGTGGCCGCCGCATTTCGAGATTCGTACACTTGTGGCCGCATCTAGCACGCTTAACGCACGGCGCGCCAGCTTGCCGCCGACCGTCGAGACGCGATGCGCGGCGAGGCGGCGACCAGCCGTCTGTCCTGGATGGCGTGGGTGCCAGTCAGCCAAGTTCAAGTGCGAACTTCGATGCTAGGATATGATTCGCTGAAGCAATGGAGGTGTCGGATTGGCTGAAAAGAGCCAATCCCACTCGCTGAAAAGAAAGTTCAAGCGCGTCCGCGTTGCTGATTGGCCAAAATGTTCTGACACGCACGTCCACGTGAGGGGATCTTGGGGACGAAGAGGGCGGTCCTCACAAGCCGATTTGCCATGCTCCGCGCCGCTGCCTCCCGAGTCCACCAGCGCGCGGCCGCCGTCTCGCGCCGCTCGTTCGCCTCCGCGACCTCGGTCGAAGGCCTCGCCGTCCGCTCCATGGTCGGTGCCTTCCGCAAGCACGGCCACCTCGAAGCCTCGCTCGACCCGCTCCACCTCGAGAAGCCCAAGCCCCTGCCGGAGCTCGCGTCGGCGGCGTTCGCGCCTGTCCTGAGCCTCGGCGCCGTCGATGCCAGCGGCGAAGTCTTCTTTAGCGATGCGGCCAACACGACGCCGGACTCGCTCTACGCGCAGCTGCGCTCGACGTACTGCGGGCCCATCGGCATTGAGATGGAGCACCTCCGGTCGACCGAGGAGCGTGAGTGGCTCGCACAGGCGATGGAGTCCCCGTCGCTCAAGGTCACGCCGGCCATGCAGCGCAACGCATTCACGGCCATGATGACGGCCGAGGTGTTCGAAAACTTTTTGGCCAAGAAGTTTTCGTCGTTCAAGCGCTACTCGGGCGAGGGCGCCGAGAGCATGCTGGTCGCGATCCAGACGATCCTCTCGACGGCGTCGGCCGAAGAGGTCTCGGACGTCATCATCGGCATGCCGCATCGTGGCCGCCTCGCGCTCCTCGTCGGGCTCCTTGAGTACCCCGTGCACAAGCTTTTGTACAAGATCCAGGGCCACTCCGAGTTCCCGGACCACATCCACGGTGTCGACGACGTCACGTCGCACATTGCCCAGAGCATGGACTACGGCATTGGCAAGAAGGTGCACGTGAGCCTCCTCCACAACCCGTCGCACCTCGAGATCATCAACCCCGTCGCGACGGGCAAGGCCCGCGCCAAGAACGACGCGGGTGCCAAGGCCATGGCGCTCCTTCTCCACGGTGACGCGGCGTTCTCGGGCCAGGGCTGCGTTCCGGAAGGCCTCTCGCTGAGCCAGCTGCCGTCGTTCAAGACGGATGGCTCGGTCCACATCGTCGTCAACAACCAGGTCGGGTTCACGACCACGAAGCGCGACGGTCGCTCGTCGACGTACTGCACGGACGTGGCCAAGGGCTTTGAGATCCCCGTGATCCACGTCAACGGCGAGTCAATCTCGCACGTGCTCCAGGCCGCGCACATTGCGACGCAGTTCCGCAACAAGTTCAAGAAGGACGTCGTCATCGACCTCTGGACGTTCCGCCGCCACGGCCACAACGAAGTGGACGAGCCGCGCTTCACGCAGCCGGGCATGTACGGCGCCATCACGGCCAAGGGCAGCTTCCCGACGGTCTATGGCCAGCAGCTCGTGGAGCAGAAGGTCCTCACGCCCGATGCGATCGAGAAGCTCAAGACGAAGCTCACGGCGCACCTCGAGGCCGAGCTCGCCAAGGTCGCCAGCTACAAGCCGACGGACGTCGACGCGTTCAAGGGCAAGTGGGCGACGATGCACCAGCCGACGCCGGCCGAGCAGCGTGCGTCGGTCGACACGGGTGTTGCCGTCGACACGCTCAAGCAGTTGGCGCTCGCGTCTGTCGACGTGCCGGCGTCGATCAAGGTGCACGACCGCCTCGAGCGCACGCACATCCAGGCGCGCAAGAAGCTTCTCGCGCAGGAGACCGTCAAGGTCGACTGGTCGACGGCCGAGGCCATGGCCTTCGGCTCGCTCCTCAAGGACGGCCACTCGGTGCGCCTCGCCGGCCAGGACTGCCGCCGCGCGACGTTCAGCCACCGCCACGCCGCGTTCACGGACCAGGGCAGCGAAGACATGTACTTCCCGTTCCAGCACCTGCCCGCGGAGCTCAACCCGGCCAAGTCGCGCTTCAGCGTCGTCAACAGCAACCTCTCGGAGCTCGCGGTGCTCGGGTACGAGTACGGCTACTCGTGGGAAGACCCGAAGAACCTCTGCATCTGGGAAGCGCAGTTTGGCGACTTTTTCAACGGCGCGCAGATCGTCATCGACCAGTTCATCGCGTCCGGCGAGTCCAAGTGGATGCGCCAGTCGGGTCTCGTGATGCTGCTGCCGCACGGCTACGACGGCGCCGGCCCCGACCACTCGAGCGGCAAGCCCGAGCGCTTCCTCCAGCTCGTCGATTCGCAGGCGCTCGAGTCGACGCTGCGCGACTCGCTCAGCGCGTACGAGACCGACATCAACATGTCGGTGGTCAACCTCACGACGCCGGCCAACTACTTCCACCTGCTCCGCCGCCAGCAGCTCCGCGACTTCCGCAAGCCGGTCGTCGTCATGGCGCCCAAGACGCTCCTCCGCCTCGCGGAAGCCACGTCGACGCTCGACGAGATGGCGCCCGGCACGTCGTTCCAGCCCGTGATCGGCGACGACCTCCCCAAGGCGGACGTCAAGCGCGTGCTCTTCGTCTCGGGCAAGCTCTACTACGACCTCGTCAAGCAACGCGCGGCGCACGGCCGCAGCGACACGGCAATCATCCGCGTTGAGGAGCTCGCGCCCTTCCCGTTCGCGCAGGTCCAGGAGCAGCTCGCGAGCTACGCCAACGTGACGGACGTGACGTGGATCCAGGAGGAGCCCGTGAACCAAGGCGCGTGGCTCTACGTGCGCCCGCACTTTGAGAAGGTCGGCGTCAAGGACCTCAAGTTCATCGGCCGCGACGCGCTCCCGACGTCGGCCGTCGGTCTCTCCAAGCGCAACGCCAAGGAAGCCGCCGAGATCATGCGCCAGGCGTGGTCGGCCTAGACTTCATCATTTCTGTTTGTTGTCGTAGAGTTGTACAACAAGACACGATTATAGTACGCTAGTCTTTTCGAGGTTTAGTGAAGAGTCGTTAGCAGGTGTGGCCGAAACGCCATGGCAGCCGACACTTCCAGCAGAAAGCGTGGGAGCACTTGATGCACGCCATGTAATGACAGCCACCGGACCGTTGGATGTAGCGGTAGCACTGAGGACACGTCTGGACGTTGTGGGCGCGGCAGTAGGCCTCGAAGCGGCGGTCCGCGCACGTCGGCAGGCAATGATACGCCTTCCCGCACTTGAGGCACGCGGGCCGCAGGCAGCGCGAGCAAAAGGCGCGCCGCTGAAAGAACCACCTGCTCCGACCGACTTCGAGGTACAGCGTGCCGTCGCAGCCGCGTCGGGGGCAGGTCGCGGCGTCGCGTGGCGCGAGCCGCTTGCACAAGGTCGCGTACAGTCTTGGTGGCAGGAGCTCTCGTAAGACCGTCTTGGTGAGTGGCCGCGCACAGCCCACGCACGCAAGGCTCTCGAACGTCGTCTTGGGCGATTCGGCCTTGCGCTGGAGGTACACTCGAAGGCACGGTGTGCAGCAGAGCGTCGTGCAGAGGCCGCAGTGGTCAACGCGGTCGGCGAGAGCGTCCCAGCAGATGGAGCAGCGCGACGGAGCCGCGGTGGGCGATGGCGTCGTGGGTCGCAGCACGACCGCCAGTAGCAGCAGCCCAAGCGCCAGCAGAACGAACACGACGGATGACATTTCGCCAAGCAGGCAAATCACCAAATGACGATCTTGGCCGGGCGACTTGTGAGACACGCCGAGGAAGCTCCGCAGAGCAGGAGGTAAGGTATCGGTAGTATCGAGCTGGACCGCGACGAGCGCCGATCGGCGTCGTTGTCTTGCTGGCGCGATGGAAAGCATCAGACAGTTTGACCACATTGGCAATCGTCCATTTGTCTGTCGACGGAAACGAGGCGCTCGACTCGTAACGCGTCTCGGATAACCTCGTCGGTCCGTCCACGACCATCTGGGTTGACGTGCAAGATACCACCGAGTATGAGGACTGAGCGCTGCTGTGATCTCTTGATGTATCCTAGTAGATATCTACTTACTAGTACTACGGATGTTGAATTGGACGTAAAGTTCGGAGCCAGCGTCGTAGTTGTTGTAAATATCTGTGGCGCAACCGCGTTGATCGCAATGTCGCAATGTCGACGCACGAGTTGGCGTAGGGTCCCTCTCGGTGCCGACGCCGCCGGTCGCTGGGAGGTTGGCGATCGCCTCGCCGTGTCGCTGCTCCAGGAGACGCGGCTTTGTGAAGCTCCTCGCTTTCAGCTCCCGCGCTCCTTCTTTACAACCTTGCGATGTTTAGCGTCCATGTAGTAGTCGTCATTCGTAGAGGGCCATTAACGTGCAAGCGATGCCTCCGCGTCAATGGCGCACTGGACGACGCGGATGCTGGCCTCGAGCGTCGCAAACTCAACACGGAGTTTGTCGAGGCGGAACGAGAAGAGCGCGTCGGTGGCCTGGCCGCGCTTCTGGTGCACGCTGCGAATGTCGAGCACGAGGATCTGCGCGATCGCGTCCTTGAGCTCGTCGACGCTCTGGTAAAACTCGAGCTGCTTGGAGTTGATTGCTGCTTCCAGCTGCGCCAAGGCTCTACACACGTCGTACTGAAACCAGACGCAACAAACTAAAGTGTGCTACTCGTCGGCAAACTCGACAGGTCGCGGCAGAATGTCGTGGCGCTCCATGACCCACTCGGGGCACTCGAGGTCGTCGACGCGGTCGTACGGCACGTACGGCTTGACGTCCAAGATGGGCGTGCCGTGCACAAAGTCGTGGCCGCTGATCTCGATCGTCCGGCTAGTTGGTGCGCATGAGGAGTCTCCAACCGATATAGGACGATACTGTACTCGTAGACTGCATCGAGCTTGACGACCGTGAGCCCGATTGAGTTGGGGCGGTGCGGCGTCCGCGTCGAGAAGAGACCGACCTTCTTCCCACCGAGCCTAGGCAGAATATGGATTATTACCGTCCCATGGGGAGGCAAGGGTACCGGGGCGGCGCAATCTTGGCCGGGTACGTCGTCTTCTTATTGGCCGCCACTTTGGACACGTTGGTGTTTTCATGAAAGACAAAGAGGACCCAGACGTGGCTGAACTGGTCGAGGCACTCGAGCGACGCAGGCGGGACGCTCGTGACGAGGCGGATGCGCGCCTTGGACGCGGGCACGAGCGCGCCTTGGCGAGGCGTGCCGCGGCGGTCTGCAAAGCACGACTCGACCGACCCGATCGGCTCAAAGTTGTAGCCGTCGCGGTCGAGCTGCTGCTGCGCAATCAGCCGCGCGTCGCGCTCGGCGTTGGTGCGCCCGAGCCGCTCCTGCGCGCGCAGCTTTGCTCCTTCTCGAGCTTCGCCTCAAGGTCGGCAATCGTCGCCAGCATCTCGGCGTCCGGGTTGCTCGGCGACGCGCAGTAGGCAGCGGCGGCAGCTCCCAAGGCCGCGCCGAGCACCAGCGTCGACCACGGGCGGGCGAGCATGAGCAATCACGAGCAATAGCCAATCGTTGGTCGGGATCGAATCAACGCCCTCTGATTGGTCGGTTTTCAACGCGAGAGATCCGGGATTCCATGATCCGAGAACAGAAGCAAAGGCTGTTTACCCGCTTCAAGCCCGGCTTCAGCGACGGCCTCGCGAGCCGGTGAAGATCGCAGTCGTGCTGCAACCGTCCACGTACGACGACCTCATCGACCGTTTTGGCGCCAAAATTGTATTTCCCACATTTTGCTGAAATTGCACTTTCCACATTGCACTTTCCGCACGTCGCTACTTCAACTCGTACATCTATTTTTGCGTCTATTGCCATCTTGATTTCGTCGATGGAGCCAAAGCGAGCGCGGACAGAGGCGGCGCCTTGGCTGCTGCCGCCAATCGTGCTGCAGGTGACCCACTGCTTGACTGAGACCACCGACGTATTGGCCTTTCTCCACGCGGTGCCTAATGATGCTCGCGGCGAGTGTCTTGACGCACTCGTGACGATCCTGACGCAAAACTCCAGCCTCTGGCCGAGGTCCTATGCCAGTAGCTTGGCTGACTTGGACGTAGTGACAGTGACAAGGGCACTACCAGCGCTCCGCACTCTAATCTTCGACGGGTTTGCAAACAGCGCCGACTTTTGCCCACATACACAGCTTCCACCGACAACGGACGTTTGTGCAAGCATCAACGACCCGCGGGAGCTTGGTTCAAGACTGAGCAACCGGGTCACCTGCATCACGCACCTTTACATTTGGATCGACGAGGCACCACGAAACACGCTACCCCAGGAGCTCGCCGCGTGCACGAAGCTCGAGTCGCTTCGCGTCGATTGGAACAATGAACGAGCCACTCAAGAGCAGGTGGACAGCATTATGGCAACCATTGTCGCTTCGTGCCCACGCCTCGCTCGTCTGCACTTGTCCGCCATGGACGAGGTCGTGCTGCAGAGTTGCGACGGCCTTCTCGATTGGCTCGCGCGTCCCAGTGCACGGCTGCTCAAGCTCGATAGCATTGAGTTTGCGCCGCGCGCTGCCAAGACCTTGGCACGCGTGCTTCTCTCGTCGACGACGCTACGTACCATCATGCTCTTTTACACGCCCCATACCCGCGATGCGTTTTTCGATCCGACTGCGCCCCCGCTGCCCCGCCAGCTGCGCAAGCTCACCATTGAGCTCGACGCCAACTGGGACATAACACCGGCTCTTTTCGACAAGCTGGCGACGTCCGCCGTCACGCGTTTGCACCTGAGAAGCGATGTGCATCGGGATGTGGCGCCCGTCGTAGCCGCCCTGGCCCCCACGTTGAAGGCACTCAAGCTCGACGAAGCCAAGATGAAAAGGCTTCCGCCGCTGCCGGTACTCCAATACCTTCAACTAAGCGATGTGACCTTGGCAAGCGAGGCCGTTGTCGATCTTGCGTCCTTGCTTGTTACCTCGACATCGCTCTTCCGACTCGACCTTCGACACTCGGAGTTGCCCGACGACCAGCTCCAAACGATCTTGTACGCGCTGCCGCGCTGGCTGAGTCGGCAACAACGCACGTGCTACGTCTACCTCTCTGTGTCGCCGGAGACCGAGACGCTGGTCACCGCGGCGCTGCTCCGGACGCGCAACACGCTCGAGGTCCAGCTCGAGATAAACAGCGCCGAGCTCGCAGTGTGCCAACGCCTCTTGACGGTCCTTGGCGCCACGTCGCGCATGAAGATGCGCTTTATTTGCCTCGGCGATAGAATCTGCAATCATGAAAGACTCGAGACGCACGCCCGTTTGCAGCGCGTAGAAACTGAGTCCAGCTGGCTTCTCTCGCCCAGCACCACACCATGGGTGTCGCTTGCATAACTATTACATGGTAATAATATGTGTCTTCTACTACACTGTCGAGTCCGTGGTGAGCAGCCGTAGCTCAGGCTAGATCCTTGGTGTACTCAAGGGATATAACCAACAAAGAGGCTTACTTCCTACTCGGGTGTATAGTTCAGCAATTTCTTCGCCCGTCACACTACAGTAGTAGTAGATACAGTATACCAAGGGGATACCAAGGGCATAAATTATCCTTGGTAGGACTGCAAGTGGACAAATAAGAAAACATAAATACGCCTTGTATTATCCATGGACCCCCACCAATGGCTTGCGTTACCCGGAAGCTCTACGGTCATGGGCAATGGCGCCGTCGACAGAGGCGCACGTGCCACCTTCACGCTGGTGCGTGGCGAGGCACGAACGATATGCAGGTGGCCGTCGCGGCTTGGTCCATCACGGTCGTCGAGCACACGTTCTTCCCAAGAGTAAGCAGGGGCAGAACTTGTGCGCCGCCGCCTGGGCCATGGCGCGGTCCGTCGTGTCGTCTTCGGCATCCCATCGCAAGACGGCGCTCTGTAAAGGCTGGCTGCGTCGACGTCATGGTCGTGCAAATGACTCTGCAGAAGGTCGATGTGGCCCCCGACGACAGCGACTTCGGCGAGGACTCGACACCCGAGTTCGTCATCGCGGCGGCGCCGAGGTGGGTGAGGACGACACAATGCCAGGTACCGTCGCACACGCGGCACTGCACCTTGACGTGCGCATACATGGCGCGGGAGCAAATCAAGCGGCAGTCGTCGTCGGTGATGGTCTTGGGCAGCAGCAGAGCGAGGTCGCCGCACCAGCCCTTTGTCATGCCAAATGGTTTCAGTGTTGCTGCGGGTATCGCCCTGGAGGTAAATCGCGAGCGGACCCGCGCAGGCGTCAATGATCGAGTGGACGTCGTGGATCGCGTCCCACATGTTGAATGAATTGTAAAGTGACTCAATGGAGAAATATGTACTACTGTCGTCCAGACGTGGCATGGATGAGCTCTACCGCGAATTATGCGGTCACCCGAAGCGGCACTGGGTTGTGTTGTCCGGAGAGGTCGCTCTCCGAGGACACAACGGAAGCAACGTCCTAGAGCTCAGCGTCCCAGAGCTCGGTTGAGGCGATGCAGTCGAGATGATGCGAAAAAACTGCAGAGATGTTGGGTAGATCTAATTCGTGGCGGCGGTGGTTAGTGGCGCTGTGTCTTGATCCATGCGGCAGCTGATTTCAGACCTTCGAGTTGATGGCACATATTATTAATGCAACTCGACTTGGATAGAGTCCCGTTTTACTCATCACCGGTGCATGGGTGGCCGTAGCCGCTCCACGGAGCGCGGCATAGCCAGCAAAACTCGTGCCAGCACTTGACGCAGGTCATGTGCTTGCAGCCGCCGTTGCGTTCAATGTCGCGATTGCACTGCGGGCAACTGCGGACCTCGTGCACCTTCTTCCACTGCGCGTACGCCTTGTCGACGCACGTGGGGCGGACGTGGTACGGTCGGTTGCACTCGACGCAGATGCCGTGGCCCGCCGAGCACGTGACGCGCCGCTTCAAGAGCCAATGGGGCGTCGACAGCACGGTGCCGGCGCAGTGGCCATACGGACACGCTGGACGCTCGGACGCGTCATGCACCATCTTTCGAAGCGTTGCGTAGAGCTCGACGCTGAGGTACGTCGTAAGCACACGCTGCGGCAAGACGACGCGGCAACCGGGGCAGCAGAGGTGCTCCCTCGAGACTTGGCCGCTTTCGATGCGGAGTGTCAGGTACTGGCGCAAGCAGGTCTCGCAGATCGCGAGCGAGCAGTCGGAGCACGAGGTCATGGCCCGCCGACGCTGCGGTTGATTTTCCAAGCAAACTTGACATTCAAAGATGAGCGACGTCGGACTCGGCGCGTCCGTGCAAACGGATCGTTTGTGCATCCTCTCTGCATTGACCTGGAGGCTGATAAAACATAACAGAAGGAAGAAGGCGAGGACGCCAGTCCAGCCAAAGACCACATTTGTGGAGTACATGACGACGAGGTATGCCACGAGCTCGCTGGCGCATTGTGACCTTGATCGTTGGTGTATCTTATCTCCTTCGGCCAGGACGCAGATAGAATAGAGCACAAGGAGGGCGAGGACGCCGGTCCAGCCAAAGGCCACATTCGCAGAGTACATGATGACGAGGTACACCGCGAGCACGCTGGCGGCGTCTTGCGAGAAGACGATGAGGAGTGCCGTCCAGAGAAGCACGATAACGTAGTCGGACAGGACGAGGTCGAGGCCGACGACGGCGAGCGTTGCCGCAGCATACACGCAGTCGTGCATCCTGCTGGAGTTTCGAAAATGATGGCTGCCGTCAAGCACTTTCCTTTCTGCTTTATATCGCAACAGTCTCATATTGTAATAGATTTATTCAATATGTCTCCCTGTACTCTATTGGATAATGTACTAAAGACGGTTACGATAAACTACATTGTAAGACCATCATTCCAAAATTGGATTGATTCACATGTCGCATTGCCACAACCCAATTCATTGTGTTAAAAAAGACAAATGATACAAATCACACGTCGTGGATTGGTTGAAATATTAGAGTAAGTACTATATTGGGGAACTCTATTGGGAACCTTTACAGATTCAGTGGGCCTTGGTAGTACTGCGGAAACCGAGTCGCCGCGCCCACTTGCGCCAGCAGCGGTGCCGGGGCGTCCAGTCGTGAAGACATTCGATGCAATAGTGGATCGTGCAGCGTTCGCAATGTAGAAACTTGGTCGTCGCCGTCTCTAGCGGCGCGTGGCAGCGTGGACATGAGCACTTGAAATGTGGCAGAGCCATGTTCGAAGCAGCCGCCGAGCTCGTCGCCGACGACAGGGCCTTTTTTCGCTGGAAGAAATGCGATTTGGCCTTTCCAGGCAGTGGCGTCTCCTGCCGCAGCGTGCGTTGGTAGAGGGCGAAAACCTCGTCCGAGGTGCAGGCTTGGACCTCGGCGTGGTCGAGTGGCGTGAGACATCGGGGATCCGGACACGTCAGCTGCGACGACTGGACGAGCCCTTGCGACACCTTGAGCGCGACGTAGAACTGCAGGCACTTGACGCAGCACGTCGAGCTGCACGCGTGGCGCCAGGCGACCGATGTATGTGCCTCTTGCTGGCAGACGACGCAGGTACCGAGTGTCGTCGCGACCACGACGCTTCGGCGCGTAGCAGATGCTCGCGGGAAGAGTGAGCTCATTAGCGCGTACAGAGCTTGGACGGCGACCGCAACGGCAACCCATGCAAGGCTAGGCGCAGACCCCATGGTTTCAATATGACCGTTGACAGCATCAGCATCGAAGATCGCAATAGCGCCTTTTGATTGGTCAGTGACGACGGTTGGAGATACTCCTTCAAAATGGATACAAAATGCCTTGGCATCCAGGATTGACGCTTGTGGATAATTTACACTTCCCTAGTTCTAACACTATGTCGACTGCAAACCGAGAATTGCACCTGTGATTTCATTGGCCGTGGGCCCACATTGCGATGTCCTTCTCGGCCTGCGCCAGCGCCGACGTCCGCGCCGCCCTCGCCAAGGCCTGCGCCGACCTCACGCGCGACGAGCGGCTCGAGCCGCTGGACGTCTACCGGCGGCTCGCACAGGAGGCCAAGGTCGTCTACGACACGGAGAAGACCAAGCTGCGCATGACCGAACACCCGCTGACGGCCGACGTCGCGCGGTCGCACCCGGCGCTCGTCGACTTTAGCATCGAGACGCTCGAGACGCTCGTCGACGCCGAGCGCAACACGACTACCAAGGCGGTCGTCGTCTACGTGCCACCGGTGGCTGCGGCCAAGAAGAAGCAAAAGACCAAGGAGCACCTCGAGGTGAGTTTCAGCTACGACCGCCGGTACGCCGGCGAGCCCTTTGGCACGACCCTCGCCTTCACGCTGAGCGTCGCCTTGGGCTACGGCAAGAAGACGACGCTGCTGCACATCGTCTTGCGCTTCTCGGGCCACTACCCTGCCAGCTACTACCAAAGAAGGACGACGACGAGATCACACCGCCCACGGACGACGACGAGGACGCGGATGCGGCACCACCGTCCGACCACAGCGATGAAGGCGCCAACCAAGACGAGGAAGAGACCGAGGAGGATGATGAGGAAGAGGTCGAGGAAGAAGCCGAGGAAGAGGCTGAAGATGTCGGCGAGGAGCACCAAGAGGGTGATGAAGACGTTGGTGGCGACGACGACGGTGAGACGCAGGAGCTGCATGTGCTCGGCCCGGACGAGAAGGACTGGGAGTACGTCGAGGAGTTTGAGTTCCATGAAGACGTCTTCGAGACGTTCCACGAGTGGTTCGGCGGCGACCTCTCGCACCAGGACTTTCTCACCTTCATGCTCGCGTTCCCGTTCACGGAAGACGAGTACATGGTCGACGACCGCGTCTTCGATCTTGTCTTCAATGGCGACGACTCGGGCGACGAGAGCGATGCATAAGAAACAGAGGAAGATGTATTAAATAGACGTGCTTAAATACTAAGAACTAGGCGGTCGTGATGTGCACACCGATGATTTGCGACAGCTTGGCTTGGTGCGGCTTGGGCAGCTTGTACACCGAGTCGAGCATCGATGGACCCAGCGCCTTGTAGAGCGACCGCAGCAGCTGGTAGTTGGCGTCGCGCACGTCCGTCTTGCTCTCTTTGATCAAGTCAAGCGCCAAAGGCAACACGTGCCTACGCAGCCACGACTCTAGCGATTGAGAAAGCCACAGGATTCCCAACCGGTGGATGGCCGACTGGGTCGTTAGGAGCCCCGCGTCCTGCGTGAGTCGGTCGAGCTTCAAGAGCATGCCGGGCTTGACGCGTGCGTTGCCGACCTTGGTGACTGACACAAAGTGCGGCACGACCAACTTGGCGTCGACATGCGCACACAAAAGATCCAACGCGCCGTCGGCCAACTGGGCGACCTACAAAGTTCAAGACAATAGAAATTCAATCTCAACATCGGAATCCAATCTCAAAGTAAAAATGTACCTTTTGGTTGTTGGCGGCAAGGCTGCGTGTCAAGATGGGCACGAGGTTGGAGAGGACGGCGTCGAGGCCGTTGCCGAGCGCGGGGATGATCGTCTGCAGCGTCTCGAGGGCGAACACATTGACCTGCTCACGATGACAACATTGTCCACAAATAAAAAATATAGATAAAACCTTGGCATTGCCGTCGTCGAGGCGCTTGTTGAGGCCGTCGAACACCTGCAGCACCTTGCCGCTCTGGCACAAGCCTTGCGCGTGCTTGAGGACGAGCGCCTGCACCTCTTCGAGGGCGTCAAAGCGCTCCTTCCAGTTGCTGCTCTCGAGCTGCTTGTTGAGCGTCGGAATCTTGTCAAAGTCGGCCACCGCCATCGGCTTGTACTTGGTCGTGTCCTTGACCTCGCTTCGCGCGCGCACCAGTGGCTTGGCGACTTGGTCTTTCAGCGCGGGCGCACTCGAGAGCACTTGCTCGACGCGGGCAACACAGGACGCCGGGCAGAGCTTCCGGAGCCGCGCGGCGTCGAGCGCCCCAAGGTGCCGCAGCTCGAGCAGCGTCGGCTTGGCGACGTCGCGCACTTCGTTGTTGGAGTCGTTGACAAGGCTGCAGGTGGCCATGACGACGCGGTCGACGTCGCGCGCCACATCGAGGCGTCCGTCCGAGAGGAGCTTCCCGAGCATAATACCCACCTACACGGACGACTATCAATCCATCTATCAACGTATCAAGCTTCTACCTGTTTGCGAATGATGTGGTTTTTGGACGCGACGTGGGGAAGAACTGCGCTGAGAACGCGCGGCGCCGAGCACCCGCGAACGACGGCATCGAGTGTCTGCGCGCCCGACTCGGAGAGGAAGACATTCGTGTCGGCCGCGCGCTTGAGCAGCAGCGGCATGACGTCGTCCAAGTCCGAGTCCATGCGCTTCCCGAGGTACAAGCACAGCGTCTCGACCGCGAGCATGCCGTTCTTGGCGACTGCGGACCGGAGGTTGCCAATGTGCGTGCACACGAGTTTCAGCACGCTCGAGAAGCCGGCGCTCGCAACGACGTCGGGCACGTGCACGCACAGCCGGCGGAGGTCCGTGAGCCCTTCAAACTGATTTTCCCACTCGGCGCTCTGGAGACGACCGAGGCACGGCGCCATATCGCTCTTCCCCAGCGGATACGCGTCGAGCTCGGCCGTGGCGACGTACTCTTGCTTGCCGGCCCGGAGCGCCAACTTGAGGTCGTCGCCCGTCTTGAGCTTGGCGCTGCGAGCCGAGACGGGCGCGGGGGCCAGCGCGGCGTCGTCCTGTTTTTGCTTGGCTTCGAGGCGCTTGCGCGTGGCAAGCGTCATGACCTTGGGCTTTGTCGGGCCTTCCGCGGGAGTCTCGGGCTCGGGCTCGACCACGATCGCGGCGGGTGGAAGGACACTGGCTTCTTTGGCATGGACGCGTTTGGCCGTGGCGAGCGAGATCGGCTTCCTGGCGCGAAGCGGCGCTTCTGCAACGGCGTCGTCGTTCTCAAAGACAGTGGCCCGCATCGGTTTGATCGGACGGTCTTCGTCAAACACTGTCCGAACGGCTCGCTGGTCGCGGTCCTCGGTGGGCGAGTGGGCCACGGGCGTGCCAGCCTTTTGGTTGCGCTCCGGCGGCCGGAGACCGTCCGGCGGCGTCGTTCCTCGCTTCTTGTTGAGGCAGCGTTGCTTGAGCACGGTGAGACTCTTGGCGATGTGCTCGGCCGACTGCTGCGGGCTCACCTCGGCTTTGGGCTGACGTGGCGGCACCGTCGGCGGCGGCGTCTTGGCGTCCGGTAGCCATAGCTTGGTCTTGTTTTCGAGGTCGCCGCGCCCGAGCAAGCGTGGCCCCGACGCCTCGAGAAACGGGACATCGCGCTGCACAAGGCGGCGTTGGAGCTGGCCCGTGTCGAGGCCGTCCGCTTGGGCGTCCGCGTTGGCCATGAGTAGCTGCATTATCGGCACGGCGCAGACATGGGCGAGGACGGCCGCGAGGTCGAATGCGGCCGCGCGCACGATCGGGGCTCGGGTCGCAGAGGGCGCGGCCGAGGTGTAGCACGGTGCAGGCCGCCGACGGCTGACCATCGCGTGGCTGGCGCAAGGTCGCGATGGTCCAGAGGTGCAAGGCAGCTTCGCGCACCTTGCAGCTACCGTGCTGCAGTGCCGGCACGAGCGTTTTGAGGAATGCGGCGACGGGGCATGCACTCAATACAATGTGCACGAGCTCGCGCCGTGCCCCGGGCTCCGCCGTCTCGGCAAGGACCGTCGCCAGCATCGGCGCAAGCACCGAGACGACCTCGGCGAGGTACGTGCCCATGGTGCGGCACAGTCCCTCGAGGAGTGTGAGCGCCCGGTCTCGCACCGAAGAGAGCTGCGCGCAGAGGTGTGCGAGGAAGCCAAAGAGATGCAGCCACTCGCTGCGCACACTCAAGAGCTCTCCCGACGAGAGCGGAGAGAGGGTTCGGCCCAAGAGATCCATCGCAGTCGGTGGCGCCTCGCTCGGATTTCGCAGCGCTTCGACGATCCACTTGGGCACGAGCCCAAACTGCAGCTGGTCGTCGGACGCAGCGCCAAGCGCCGGGCTGCTCGACCCGATGAACTGCTGAATGTAGTCGGCGTGTTGGGCCAAGATGGCGCGGTCGCGGCTGCTCAGCGTCTGGAGAAGCCTCTGGAACTGCTTCTGGCCGACGTGCGCTTGGAGCCACGCGACCGCGTCCTCGGCCGCGACGACGCAGCGCTCTTCGTCGTCCTCCATCGCGGGGATGAGCACCTCGAGGACCATGGCCCAGCTCACGTCGCCCGGCAGCGTCGTTGTCGCGTTGCGTTGCAGGAGCGCCTTTAGCGCCCCGATAGCGCCTTCGCGGACCGCGCCGTCTTCGTGGTTCAAGCCCTGGTTCATGAGGAGGTCCATGACACTCTGCAGACTCGAGGTGTGCTGCGCGTACACCCAGAGCACGTGCAGCGCCGAGTGCGGGAACGCCGCCTCGTCGTCCCACTCGGGGTCCGCGGGCAGCATCGGCAGCATCGGCGGCAGCACGATCTGGTACAAATGCACGAGGTTCTCGGCGCCAATGACCGGCACGAGGTCGCACACGAACTGGAGCGCCTCGGCCACGATGCGCGGCTCGGCGTCATGGAGGCGGCGCCGGACGCAGTTGAGGAACCGGCGCGCGTTGCGCACGGGAAACGGCGCCGGCCGCAGCTGCAAGGTCGCCGCCAGCTCGCGCAGCCGGCGAATCGCCTCGAGCTTGACGCTCGGCTCGTCGTCCTCCATCTGGTACACGAGCGTATCCACCGAGTCCATTGGGGCGGATCCGCGCCTCCTCGAAAATGACCAAATTTAGACTGCGCTGTATTTAGCCTCGGGGCCTATTTCAGTCGCCCGCCACCGCATCGCGCCAGCGCTCCACCTGCCGACGTGGCAGCGTCAAGCGAGCAGCAGCCGCCGCCAAGCTACTCTTGTGTCGGAATGGGCAACGGGCGCATCCGGATAAACGTGCAGGACGGCTGCCAGCAGTGCGGAAAGATCGAGCAGGTGCTGAACCCATGGCGCTTCTGTGGACGATGGCGCTGGTCGCGGCCGCGGCCGCCCACCCGGCGTACGAGATCCCGGCCTTTAACGTCGCGACGCTGGTCGAGCACAAGGCGCCGCTGGTGGCAGCCCTCGAGGAGCACGGCCTTGTGGCGCTCAAGGGCCTCGATGGCTTTGCGGCGACGCGGACGACGTACCTCCGTGAAGCCTTTCGCTGCATGCAGGCGCACCCGAACATGGACTTGCTCCAGCACAAGACGCTCTCGGACGGTACCACGCGCGACACGATCAGCACCAATGCCAAGGACGAAGAGCTGCCGATGGCGAGCCTCTGCCCCGCCTACGCCGCTGCCCACCACGCGTACGTGGGCTTGATGCAGTCGGCGACAGAGGCGCTGGGCGTCGCGTTGGACGTGCCTTCGAGCGAGCATGCGACGTCGATGCGAGCGATCGCCGAGTCGGGCAAGCATCTCGACCACGTACACAAGTATCTCGCTCCCGCCGCGCCGTCCAGCCCAGGTTCGCGTCGCGCGCTGTCATGATAGAAATAATCCCATGTGCGTAGAGACGCTGTCGCTGGAGCTGCACACGGACAATGGTCTTGGGCTCCTCACGTCGGCCCCGCTCTTCTTTGATCGCGACGGCAACCAAGTGCAAGTGGAGACCACCGGCCTCGAGGTTGAGCTCACGCTGGACGGCGTTGTCCAGCGCGTGGCCCCGCGCCTCAAGGCCGACGAGCTCGTGCTCATGATTGGTGAAGGGTTCAATCGATGGGGCAACTTTGGCCATCGGTTCCCGCCAGTCGTGCACGGGATGAAGATGCCGCCGTCGATGGACGCGTCGGTCGCACGCGTCTTCTCGGGGCGCATGTTGCTCATGCGTGCGGACGACCGCCTCGTGCACGCTGGTCTCTCGTTCGACGAGTACGCGGCCGCCACGACGCGCCACCTCCTCGAACCGAGCGCCAACTTTGCGTCGCTCGCGTGTCCGACGGGCCGCAGCCTCCTCGCCTCGGACCTGAGCTGCACGCTGGGCCTTTGGGTGCGATTGATACGTCAACCTTTCACGATTCGAAAAGCACTTGCATTAGGGCCCGTCGAACGCCAGCGACCCGAGCACCACGAAAGCGCAGTGCATGCGCCACTGCAACAGCCCTAATATGCGCAACGAGGTCGAGCAGTGCGCGCATCTCAAGTGCGTCAAGACGGGCGACGTGCCCCACGGAGGCACCGTGTGCTGGATGCTGTGCGTCGAACATCTGCCCGACTGCGCAGCTGACGCCCAGACGTGCTTGCCCGACCAAACGCTAGTGTGCCCGGCGGCCATGGCCGCAGCTCCGACGCAACGACTCTGGATGTTGGGGCTCCTCGGCGCACTGGGCGTGGTCGTGCTCGCGCTGGCCGTGCGCCACTGGCGCCACCGCCGCCGACATGCGCAGCGCTGCAGCTCGCTGGCGCCCACGGAGGCGAGCTCGCTCTTGGCCTAGCCCGACGTTCGGGTTCGTTCGATCGAACGTGGTCTTTTGGGTGGCAATTGCCGTAACCAAGTTGATTTTGCTTTTGCTTGCGTTTGATTGGCGGACCCGCAGACATACGGACTTGGCTTGGCGAACGCGGTATCTTCCGTGCGACTAAAGCTACCAGAACTGATTGCCAGATCTGTGCCAGAGAGCTCTCAACCAGAGTCCCAGGCTGCCAGAGCACTTGAGTTATCAGAGCTGAAGGTACTCGTTGATATCGCGCTTGGTCGGTTATAGATGTGCAGAACGCACCTGTGTCTCGGCCCGTTCGTCCAGAGAGTTTGGAGCAGCTTCTCGGATCCGCAAGTCGCTGGCCATATCACGTGTCATTGACGCAAGGTTCCTAAGCGTAGTAATGCTCGGCAAAGACTCCGAGTCGGTCTTCACTTGCACAGATGCACACTGCACCACGGACGCTCGGCCTCGCTGTCGTCGCGATCGTCGTCGCCGCGCCAGTGGTCGCTGGTTCGCTCTTCGTGGACCTTGCCGCCACCGTCATTGGCCTCACTGCACTCCTCTGGCTTCGGGCCCTGCAAGCTGCGGTTGTCCGTGACCAGCACATCAAGCTACTGCGCCCGACGTCGTCCGCACACTTGGCACCGCTGCGCAAGCACTCTCAAGGCGAGAGCCCACGAAGCCGCTGCCATTCAGCATCGATGCTCATCAAGATGCCATCGTCGTCGCCCACAAGCCGCGCCTGTCCCCGCTGCCACGCACTGCTGCCGGCGTCCGATCATGTGTGGTGGTCCAAGCGACGACTGCGCTGCGGTAGCTGCAAAGCGGCGTGGTGTCTCTCGTGCGCGGGGACCTATCACTTTTTGCCGCGCTGCCATCGACGCTCGGCAAGTCGTGTCTTTGCCAAGCCAAGCGTCTAGCAAGGGTCTGTTTAATAGTGTAGATAGCTGTTTTATCCTTTTCTGGTGGTCTATTCTTGCATTCGCTGTGTGAGACATGGGCCAGCTCGTGTCCAAGGCGCCTCAGTACCGCTCCGAGAGCGACCGCTTGGAGCTCCAGGGACGCTACGTCGTGCACACGGCTCTAGCCTACTATGGGACATTTTACGGCATCTGCCCGGCGTTCGAGGCAATCGCCGGCGACGCGGTGCCCCTCAGGATGCTCTGCCGCGTCTTCAACCTGGCCTTCCACGCCGCCTACGTCGGCCTCCTCGTCCCGTACCTCGTGGGTATCCTCGTAGACACGGAGGGGTACTTTTACCGCCTGCCGTCGAGCCTCGTCTCGTGGACCTTCCGCACGTGCATCACAGGACCGGTGCTCTGGGCGCTGCCGTGGGTCGTGCTCTGGCCGTTCATGCTTCTCGTCGCCATCGTCAGCAAGCACTTTGAGGAGGTCGACACCAAAGCGCCGTCGGCAGCAGAGAGCTTGAAAGTGGTCGAAGCGACGACAGAGACGACGCCAGCCGTGCCCGCGTTGACGCCGGTGGTAGCCGTCGTGGCGCCCAAGGCGCCAGATGTGCCGGCGAAGGCCCCAGCCAAGTCGTTGGGAAAACTCATGCTCTCTTGGCTCACGCCGTCCAAGCGGTCGCCGCGAAAGCGCTTGGGAAAGGAGAGCCCGAAACAACACGCCACCCGCGAGACGGCCAAAACCAAGTGACAGCACTTGATACTTGGTTGATACTAGTCAATTGCCCGAAGTCACGGGCGCTCTCCTCCATTACGTACTACACCCTTGATCGCTGTTCGACGTTGGGTGTTGGTGCATGTTGCGTATGCTTCCTGCATAGTTACTCCGTAGATTCCCGGTCACCGGTGTCGCCGATCTCAAGCCGTTGTATCCCACATTACGAGTCGGCCCAGTGAGTGGGTTGGCGACGGTTGCGCTGACAAGAGCAGCGCAGGGACGCACCGTCGCCAGTACAACCGCTCGGTCCGATGCGCGATCTGCGGTGCTTGTGCTTTGCAGGCTCTGGAGACCAAGAGTCCTACTCTCAACGGTCGCCTTTGTAAAGACAAATGCTGTACGTGTCGAGGGCTGCCTTGGCGCGGCGTCGAGACTCTTGCACGCTGCGCCATTGGCAGGGAAACGTTGGCTCTTCAGGATCGTCCTGGAGGCAAGATCGCCACGGAGCCCAATGATTATCCGGATCCGGATCGGTGCCGAATCAAGGCTTGTGTCAGACGGACTCGGTCCAGCGGCCTTGATTGTAAAAATCCAACAACAAATCACTATCGTCCAATTCACTTCGTTCCAAACAGCTCATTCTGTCATGGGCCACCCCGAGTCGAAACCCGAGTACCGCGCGTCGGGCGACTCGCTCAAGCTGCAAATTCTCTACATGGCGTATCTGTGGATGGGGTACTACGTCACCTTCGCGTGGATCTTCCCCATCCTCGATGCGGTTGTGGGCAACGTGGCCGTCCTCGGCGAGCTCTGCCGGCTTTTCTTGATGGTATCGCGCGTTCTGTACGTCGGCGTCGTCATTCCGTACATCGCCACCGTCTTCCTCGACACAGAAGGCTTCTTCTATCGGAATGCGACCAGCTTTAGCGCAGAAGCGGCCCGCGCGCTCATCACGGAGCCGTGCCTGCTCATACTGCCATGGACGGCGCTGTGGTCCATTTTCGTTGCGTTTGCGCTTACCTTATCACTCTGCGAGTGGCTGCAAGCCAAGACAGCCAAGGTCCAAGCCGCGATGACCGAGGCAGCTGTGGAGCCGACGCCACCGCCGGTGGCCACACGCCTCCACAAGCCCGAAGAGCTGCCAGTGCCCAAGCCACCCAAGAAACGATTGTTCTCTTGGTTCAAACTCTTTAAGTACCGCAAAAACCCGTCTGCAGAGAAGAAACACCAAGCCAAGTTGACCAAGTAGCGAGCTAACTGGATCTCATTTTGCACCCTGGCGACGAGATACTAGTATAGGATAAGCTGGTATCGTAGATCAGTACAAAACACTTGGACATGAATTCAACAATACCGGTATATATTCCTGTAGATATTCTCTCTACTACTATTAATACAGTTTGGATTCACAACACAGCATCTATCAGAAATGATATATTGCGCGCGGTTGTGGATCCCCAAAAATGCACTAAAAAATCAAGTTGTGGCGCGAGAAATTGAGGACCCAAGAGTTCAAGCGCCAGGCGTCGAAAGGTCCTCCGCGACTCGTTTGCCACCATCATTGACATGGCCCTTTCGAATACTTATTGAACGAATTGAGGCCTCGAAGCGAAGTAATGGTCGGCGGAGGCAGCAAGGCGTTCTTCACTACTTGCACAGATGCACCTCACTGCAACACGGTGTTCTCAGCCTCTCCGTCGCCGGCGGCTCGCTCCTCGAGGACCTTGCCGCTCTTCTGGCTGCGGGTCATGCAAACTGCGGCTTTCCATGACCAGCACTTCAAGGCATTGCTCCCTACGTCGTCCGCAGACGCGGCACCGCTGCACAGGCACGCTCAACGCGTGAGCCCACGAAGCAGTAGCCGTCCATGAAAGGTCGCCATGGCACCGACGTTGCTCGTCGTCGCAAGTCGTGCCTGTCCAAGCTGCCACGCGCTGCTGCCGGCGCCCCACAAGCTGCAGGGCAGTCGTCGGGACTAGATTGCCTCGTCGTACGGATAAAATAGGAAACCGATGAATTCTTATCGCAGAAACAGCATTGCACAGGGTTGTTGGCAGGATGCTTTTTAAAATGCAGCAAGAATCAAGTGTAAAAAGTCTCATTGAATTGCTTTGCCTTGAGGATACCGTAGAGGAAGGATATGGTTCCAGAGCTAATTGCTGGCGGAGTTGCCAAGATCAAAGAGGGGCAAAATGTCCTCAGGACAAGTCGCACAAAGTCTTAACGTTAATTATCAATCACGCCGTCAAGGTCAAATTCATTTTGCAATGGGCCAACCCAACGCCAAGCCCGTGGGCGAGCGCCGCGCCACCACCGAGTCGCTGGCGTTGCTTGTCGCTGCGTACTCAGCCTTAGTGTACCACGCCACGTTCACGTGGTTGTTCCCACTGGTAGACGCTCTTTTCGGCGACGTTTTTGTCTTCAGTTCGCTCTGCCGCGGCTTGTCGACGGTCGTTCAGGCCGCCCACCTCGGTGTCCACCTCCCGTACGTCGCCTTCGTCCTCTTCGACAAGGACGAAATCTTCTACCGCACTCCGACGCACAACGTCTGGGATTTTGACCGTGAAGAGACGAGCACGCATCTCCTTCGGCTGCCGTGGCTCGCACTGTGGATCACGCTTTTCTTGTATTACTTCGTCGAATTTTTCGTCGCTCCGACGAATGCGAGTACGACAGCAACGACAGCAACCGTGTCCAAGCCGTTGACGCCCGTGAAGCTGGTGCCGCATCCGATACCCGAAGCCAAAATGCAAGACGACAAGCTTGTAGGGAATATCATCCACGCTAAGAACGGCGTCTTGAAGGGTATCGAGAAGGGGAAGCTCAAACCCAAAGCCGACCGAACCGCGTCGTCACTTGGGGCCGCGCCGTCGACGGCTGAGCAACCGGTGCCGACACCAAAGACGAAGGGGCCCAAGAAATCGCTGCGGAAGCGCGTGCTCTCGTGGCTTAAGTCTTCCGAACGGTCGCAACGACGAGATGGCGACGACAAAGCGACTGCGATCATTGCCACTTGATAACCGGTCGATAGATTGAAAGACAGATGTTTCGCGTTATTATCGTTGTTGTTGAAGTGGGTCGTCTATTACAATAGATAAAACTATGCTCAACAAAATTGTCGGACTTTCCTTATTGTGTGTACTCGGTTGAGGGACTTGATTTAGGCAGGCGGAGGCAGGAGCGCGATCCGCGGGACGAGGTGACGTCGCGGCCACTCGTGTTGGGCGAGGCGCCGGAGAAGCCGACGAAGAGCAGGCTGCTCGGGCTCTTGTACGAGGCTGTGGTGCAAGTGCAGTTGAGCGACGCGTACCGCCTTCGTTATCTTCGTTGTTACTTTCGTCAACGAGCCCTGAAGGCCGGTGGCCACCCGAGTCCCGGTATGCGAGCTACTAGTAGTGTGACGTCATCGCACGTAGACATTCGTCGACGCAACGTGCGTCGATCTTTCTGCTCGTAAAGTCCACGGAGGGCTACGTACACCGAGCTGCGATGCGTCCGCTGCAAGGACGCCATCGACCGCACGCGATTTCTTCCCAGACACTTCAACCCTCGCTGCAGACGAACGACGAGTCGCATTCCAGGTCGGACTGAGCGGAGCCTTCGCCGCAAATCGGGTTGTACCCGCTTTTCCAGCCTCCAAAGACGCCTTGCGTAAGGTCCTCTCGCCGCCAGCAAAACTACGACTGCCGAACTATCAACAACCTCGAGCATTGCTCTTGATACAATGACGACCAGAAAATATCAAGGAAGCCGCTGGATACCATCATTCGCACAGAGTGCAGGCCGTACAGTGTATTCGCACAACAGTGTCTTGTCGCGGAAGAAAGGCAGCGCCGAGGCTACTCGGGCCTAATCATCGGGAACTCGAAGGGGCTTTCGGGGGCGTTCGATCACATTCTTCAGCTCTCGCAAGCGCAGAAGGAGCTCATGATTGGCGGCGCCTCGTCGCACTTGCCAGCGACCATGCAATGGCGCAGCCTCGATCACCTGGCCGGACGGATGATGCGCTCGATTGTGCTTCCCTGTCACCCCCCATGCAGTGCAATCCGTTTTCTACACTAGCTTTTTGTATTATGTATATTTTTAGGGGTCCCTAGAAAATGCAGAATCGGACCCACCAAATGTCCCAGCGCACCTGCCTCAGGAAACGTTGAGGGTTGAAGGCGTGAGTAGCTCCCATTCTGCATCTGCCATGACCTCGCCCACGTCCAGCCCGCTCACGCTGGGCTATCGCTTCGCGTCCAAGGGCCTCGACCCCGCTCGCGCGTCGCCCGCGATACCCGTCGTCGCTGTCCTGCTCTACGTTCTCTACTGCGCGCTGGCCTACGTCGTGACCTTTGACGTGCTCGTGGTCCGGCTTCGGACGCTTCTCGCCTCCAGCGCCGCCGTCGACGCAGTGGCAGTCGCGGCCAAGCTCGGCTACGTCTTTGTGGGCATGCCGATGCTGTACCGCCACATCACGCAGGCCGAAGACGGCGCCGACCACGCGCCGGCGCTGGACGCGTGCCTGCTCTTTTGGCGCCGTGGGCGCTCCCACTCACCTTTCTCTACGCAGCGACGATGCCACTCCAGTCGCTCTACGGTCTCTGCAAGCCGCCGCCGCCGGTTCTCGAGAAGCCGCCAATCGAGTACCAGGCGATGACCGAGTGCAAGGTCTGCCTCGAGTTCTACACGGCCGAGAAGCTGGCTGCGTACTGCGATACGTGCACGACGCCATGCTGCATCGCGTGCTTCAACAACTACCTCGAGCACCGGCTGACGTCCAACGAGACGCTGTGCTGCCCAGGCTGCAAGAATCACCTCTCGCCAACCCTCCTCACCTCCAGCGCCGTGTCCTTCGACACGCGCGAGGCGTGCGCGGCCCACTGCCTCACGCAGGACGAGCAACGCACGTGTCCTCGCTGCCACAAGCCGGCGCGCAAAGGAAGCCTCCGCAAGCGCCGGGTCATCTGCGACGCGTGCAAGGCCACGTCGTGCGCCGACTGCGGCAAGGACTACCACCTACTGCCGACCTGCCGCGACAAAGCGTTCGAGCGCTACTGCCGCGAGACCGGCGTCAAGCGCTGTCCGGGCTGCAGCCGGCTCGTGCAAAAGGCCGACGATGCGTGCGACCACGTAACTTGCGTCAAGTGCCTCTACGCCTTCGAGTGGCCCACGGTGCTGTCGTATGACCAGACGAAACCCTAATCGCCGACTAATTTATATCTTTTCGACCGTAACGTTTATGCTACTTGGACTGGTAGCGCAAGACAACTCGTCTTCTGTGGGCTACGTCGAGAGTTCTCCACTCATGCTCCCTGGGGCATGATGAGATTACCGGTAGGGCGATGAGCCATAATGTATGATGGACCGCAGGGGAGACATCCGATTGGCTGAAACAGAGATATCGATCGACCAATCAAAAACTGGTAAACAAATCTTTTTATTCGGTATTCACGACCTCCGCACCTGCACAGCCGGCTGCTTGGAGGTTTTTCAAGGCGACCATATCTTGGCAGCGGCGAGCACGTGCAACAGCCGCTACCTGCAGCGCCTTCGTACCTTGGAGGCCCACGAGAAACTGCAGCATCTCCGCCTTGTTGTTGCGTGCAGCGTAGTAGAAAGCCAGCGCCGAGCACCCTTCAGAGCGGTTTGCGTGCAACCATTGGACGACCTCAAGTTGGCCGGTCGCCGCGGCCCAGTCGATAGCATTTGTCGTTGTGCCTTCAGTGCGGTGCTGGTGGAGAAACTCAACAATCGCCAAGTGCCCGAACGATCCTGCAGAGGCCATCGCATCTTGCGAGCAGCCTTCGCTTCGGTGGGTATGCAAGAAGCGCACCACGTCCAAGTGGCCGCCCATGGCCGCGTTCTCCATGGCGCGAACCGTACACCCTTCCAATCGGTTCGCGTGCAGCCATTGCACGACGTCAAGATGGCCTTCTTGGGCCGCAGTGTCCATCGCGTCCGTCGTGCAGCCTTCGCCTCGGTGCTCGTGCAGCCAAATCACTGTTTCGAGGTACCCTGCGCCGGCAGCATAGTCCATAGCCTGTTTCGTACAGCCTTTGGATCGATGTTCGTGGAGGTATTAGACGATAGAGAGATGACCGTTTCTCGCTTCGACGTCCATGACTTTGGCGCCACAGGACGCGTGGCATTCTTGGTCGAGATAACGGACCGCCTCAAGGTTGCCCGCAAGGGCGGCAGAATAGAGCGCTCTGTCCGAGATCCAAAGGCCGCAGTGCGAGCGCAGAAAGGCCGCAATGTCATGGCGGTTGGCTGCAATGGCAGAGTCGACGGCCGCCGACGTCCCGCCTTCGGTGCGGTGGCGGTGAAGCCACTGCACCACGTCCAGATGACCGTGGAACGCAGCGTCGTCCAATGCGCCTGTCGAGCAAGCGTTGCTACCAGCGTCGTGCAGCAGCTGCAGCACATCCAGATACCCATGTCCCGCCGCCCAGTCCATTGCCAAAAGACCATCGTCCTCGTCGATATGCGCAATCGCCGCCAGATCGACGCCGTAGTCATTGCGAAGACAGCGCAGAAGCCGACTGTGGCCACCGTAAATCGCATCCTGCGCGAGTGCGCGAGGGAGTCCCGTTCTCAGCACCGAGACTTTATCCGAAAACACATAAATGTTTTCCAAAGCACATAACCATCTCTACCCAAAAAAAACCTATTGCTCACCAGCCTTAATACCCTGTCTCTCTCCCTCTCACCCCTAACACCCCCACGGATAACCACACCAAGCCCTGCTACCAACACCACCTTTCCCCCGGAAGTATAAGCATCCCCGCGCTGCGGGGATGGCATCGTCGTCCTTTTTGATGCGTAATCATAATCCACTGTCCGGTTACTCTAGAGGTGACGGCCAATCACATCCCAGCATTTCCTAGCATTTATGTGTTTTGGAAAATGTTTGTGTGTCGTGCGCGAGGGTCGGACGTGTCGAGCTCGTCGAGCCAGATGTTGGCCATCGCCGCTGCCCGCAAACGTTCCAAAGCACCGTCTCGCTCGTAGTCGTCAGTGTGTGTCATGATCACGTGTGCCTTTGTACGCACATACATGGACTTGGACGAGATGCAGCAGCAGTCGGCAGCTGAGAGCTTGGTCGGTGGCAAGATGTCGAGGTCGCCGTCCCAGTCGAGGCGAGAGGTGTCGCGCCAAATGGCCTGTTTCAACGCGTCGCCGCCTGTCGAGCGCAGCAGATCCAAGGCGCCGTGGAGAAGCTGCGTCAGCGGCCCCGCAAAGGCCAAGATGAGCGGCTGCAGGTCCGCGATGTCGGTCTACATGCCTCCAATGCCTCCAATGCTTTTGAAACCGGTACAGCATTGTGTTTTAAACCGTAAATACGTTTAAAGCATGATTGTACCAGATGAATTCAACACATCGCAAACAAGGTTGCGATGCAGTGCATCGCAATCTAGAGGGCTAAACGGGGGTTAAACGATAGATAGCCAAAACGCTAGATAGATAGATAGATAGATAGATAGATAGATAGATAGATAGATAGATAGATAGATAAATGTAGATAGATAGATACATATATAGATACATAGATAAAGTGCACGCGGTTTCTATAGGGTCACCCTCTTCAGAGTGCTACACGCATTATTATTCAACCAAAATTTGTGGAAATGTTTTTCATTCTGATTCGAGCTCACATATGATTTTTCAAAAACATTACTAATGCTTAAGTGGGTGATTTTCAAGATATATCATTTTCGGTGGCGAAGAGTTATAGGTTCACTTGGCCATGGAGGCTTGTCTGGGCGCATACACGCGTAACAGCGGGTCCCTCGGTTGATTTTACCTTCCCGAATGCTCAACTGATGTATGCATATGCATGTAGCGGGTTGGCGTGCCATAACAGATGCCACGAGGGACGATTTTGACGATAAGCTTGCGCGAGCGCATTTCGGTGTTCAAAGAGCTCAGCCTCTCCAACAGAGCGATCGCCGAGAAGCTTAATCGCTCACCGAACGTCGTTAACGGCTTTGTGAAGAACCCGAAGGCCTACAACACTGCGAAACAGCCGGGTCGCAAGCCAAATCTTCGCCCGCGGGACCTTCGGCGCCTCATCACGGCGGCTTCCAAGGGTATTTTGACTGCCCGACAGCTACGTTTCGACCAGCAAGTGCCCCTCGGTGCTCATCGCACATAGTAGCTGCTCTCGAGTGTCGAGCATTTGCGCTGGGAGATGCGACAGCGGATGCCGTGGATGACCAAGGACCACCTGGTTGGACGCGAGATGTTTGCCGCTAGGCATCTCGAATCTCGCTTCGACTGGTCCTTGATCATCTTCAGCGACTAGGAGAAGCTCAATTTGGACGGTCCCGACGACATCCAGTACTACTGGCGTGACCTCCGCACGAGACTCAGTACTTCCGAAAGCGCCAGTCCAGTGGCGGCTCTGTCATGGTCTGGGGCGCGTACGCGGCGGACGGAACGAAGGTGCTAGCGTTCCTCGACGGCAAACAAGACTTAATCAAGTACTGCATGACGCTGCTGCAGCACTTGCTGCCAATTTACGACTGCTCCCACCAGACGCTCCAGGAAGACAACGCCTCAATCCACTCCTCGAAGGCCGCCACGGCCTTCCTGCGCATGAAGTAGGTCAAGGTAATGGCCTAGCCTGCTTGATCGCCCGATTTGAACCCGATCGAGAACGTCTGGGGCTACCTGGTTCGCAAAAACTACCCGAACGGACGATGCCATCCGTCTGTCGCTTCCCTGCGTACTGCGATCGAAAAGGCGTGGCCCAAGCTGACCAACAAGTACCCTAAGGCCTTGAGTGACTCCATGGACAAGCGCTGCGTCGAAGTTCTCAAGAAAAGTGGCCACGCGATTGACTATTAAACAGTGAACCTATAACTCTTCGCCACCGAAAATGATATATCTTGAAAATCACCCACTTAAGCATTAGTAATGTTTTTGAAAAATCATATGTGAGCTCGAATCAGAATGAAAAACATTTCCACAAATTTTGGTTGAATAATAATGCGTGTAGCACTCTGAAGAGGGTGACCCTATAGAAACCGCGTGCACTGTAGATAGTAGATGTTTATTGTCGACTAGGATCAACCCTTTTTGCTGTCACCAAGAGGATAGTTTACTCTGGGAAAAAGTGCTCGGACTTGCGCTGGAGCTTGACCGGCGAGGCAGTCTGGTTGAGCAGCGCAAGAATCGCCTGCTGCGTCGCGAGCACTTGGCGCTGAACGTCTTCGATGCTTTTCTGCCGTTCGCGGAGGGATTCGTGCTGCTCAAAGAGCGCGTCGAGGTGCTTCTCGAGCCGCGCCGTGCCCGGGTCCTCCTTCTTGGCGAGCACGTCGAGCTTGCGGTCCGTGTTCGCGCGCTTGGCCTCGCTCAGCGTCACGGGCGTCGCCGTCGGCTTCTTGTTGGATTCATTTTGGTCGTCGTCGGGCACGAGCTGGAGCGTCGGGTCGGCTTTCTCGAGCGCCATCGCGCGGTGGTTGGGGAAGAACGACACGTCGTTCTTGGCCATCTTCATGGCCAGATAGAGCTCGATGCCGTTGTACTCGGTGTAGTCTTTCTTGTTGATGTGCACAAAGAGGTACAAATAGTGCCACATGTTGTGCTCGAGGCGCGTGTGGTACTCGAACCCGCGCTTCGTGAGCCGGTCAAACGTGTAGCCGTCAATCGAGCAGATAAAACAGCGGTCCCGCAGCTCCTCGGCGCGTTCCTTGTGCGACGTGCGGATCGTCGCGAATGTGTCGATGATGATGCCAAAGGTAATGTTGAGCAAAATGACCATCAGAATGATGTTGTACGCATTGTCAAACCTAGTGTCGACCATGAGTCACCGCTAAGAAACTACGAAATGAAGGCGTACAAAAAACGGCCCGTCGCAAGAGGGTCGGTGCCGAGGGCCCGGGGCAGCAGGAAGCCGCCAAGGCCGCCGTTGCTTTTAAACGCCAAGTCAAACGACGAGAGAAAGCAGAGGAAGAGCGTGCTACAGCGCTGCGGTGCATTCGGGTTGGCCATGGCCTCGGGCGTGTAGTCGGGGCGAAAGTAGAAAAAACCAATCGTCGCGAAGATGTACACGAGGAGCAAGTACAGGGCGAAGATGAGGAGGAGCGACTTGCCTGGCAGCACCACAGCCTTCAGAACGTTCTTGAGCTCCTACAGTCGCGTTTTCAGTATTTTTGAAATATTTTTAAATAGACAATAGTGTGCACCTGAGACCGGTTGATAATGTCGAGGACGTGGAATGCGAAGAATTGCACGTGGACGTAGGTGCCGAGCACCGGAATCATGACCAAAAGGCCGTAGTACACCAGTCGCGGGTCCCGCAGAAGGAACCGAACCGAGACGACGATGTTGCGCACGCGGTCTTGCTTGGTGCGCAGGACCTAGCCCCAGTCATTCACCAAATTCTTGAAAAAATTCAAAATCGATATGCACGTACGTCTTCGTCACGGTCGCCCAGGAGACGCAGGAGGTCCTCCACGTCCTGGAGCGACTCGGTGGCGTCGACATCGCTGCGGGCGTACGGTGTCGACGCGCCGCCGATGGTGTTTTTGAGCTTCCGCTTCTCGGCGTGCCAGCCTTCCGTGATGAGCAGCGGCACCGTGTGCACCGCGTAGAGCACAAAGACGGTGGTGCAGAGCGCGACTTGGATCGATCCGAGGACCGTTAGCAGCGCGTCGATGCCAGGTCCGTCCCTCGTAGCGCCTTGCTGCCACGCCGAGTACGGCTGCGACGTGCTGGCATCGGCGCGCAAGGTCGTGACGACAAGGAGGTTGATGAGGAGGGCGAGCACGAATGAGAGCACTTGGAGGCGGTGAGTCTGGCGCAGCAGCCACGCGAGTAAAAACTGCTGCTGCAGCTGGCTCTGGTACTCCATCTCGTGCAGCAGATTGGACGTGTGGGCGAAGAACGCGCTGAGCTTCGAGCTCGGATCCAGAGGCATGTGGGTTTTGAGCCGGTCTTTCGAGCGTTGCGTGACGCAGCAGCAGATCGGGTGCACTGGAAAGTAGATCTGCACCAAGTGCGGGTCGCCGCGAAGGTGCCACACGAGCTCGACACGCGCGCACTTGGCGTCAAAGAAGGCATAGGCCACCGCGTAGGCCGCGTCTTTTGTTGCAAGCCCGACGCGAACTCTGCGTTCGCTGTCGCTTTGAGCCAGCGCGTGAACGCCTCGTACGTGAGGAGACTGAAGCTCCGCTCGACTTGCGTCAAGTGCGACGTCGACTGCTTGGGGAAGAGCGTGTTACCGAGCGACGGCTGGTACTCCATGAGGTGCTGGATCAGAATGTGCACGTTGAAGCCCAGGGCCAGGAACGCGTCCGTGCTGCACGCCGTGTTGCCGTCGTAGACACCCTAGTCGACAACTTGTCCATACTGACAAGCGACACACTCAATAAGTAGTACGTGGTACGTCTCTTGAAAATAGCGGTGGACGTCGACCACGTTGTCCTTGATCGTGTCAAAGTTGAGCTCCGTGACGAGCCGGTCGTGGATGATGTCATCGGTCCGACCTTCAATGAGACTTAGGAGACAGACCACAATCGCGCCTTTGAGCTGCCGCATGTGCAGACGCGCGTCACTCTCGGGAAGTGACGTCACGACCAGCAGTTCGTTGACGACTGAAATGAACTTGTAGTTGGCGACGCACTCCTGGGCTTCGGGGCACGGACCCTACCCCTCTTCGTAAAAATACATGGTTACAATGCAGAAATACCTGGCAAAACTCGGTGATCGTATCAAAGAGCTGCTTGAACAAAAGCACGTTGGCGCTATTGAGGCTCGGGTAGATCTCGAGAAGGAACGACGTTGTGGCTTCGACGAGATTGATGCTGCTCACGGCACTCCCCTGCGAAAGCAAGTACTGCTGCACGTGGAGGTAATGGCCTTCGCAGAGCAGCTGGAGGAACCGAAAGATCGCCACGATGCTCGCGTACGGCGGGTCGTCGGCCAGCTCGAGACTGCGTCCGCTGCGCGCCTCGTGCGAAAGCCGGAGCACCATCGAGTGGGGCCGCGGCAGGTCGTCGAGCGCTGGCACTTGCGCGACCGTCTTGACCTCGTCCGTCGCCTACGCCCGCATCGAGAGTTGTACGAGGTAGCGAGATGCGGTGTACGCTGTCCATCCGGTGCTTGAGGCGCTCAAAGAACTTGGTCGTTTTAGACTCGGTCCACGTCGCGTAAAAGTGCTCTTGGACCTAATTGGTCCAGTTTACCGCGATGTATGAGACGTAAGAAGTCGGACTTTAGCGTTCATGCCGTCAAGCAATGCGATGCCGAGGGCGATGCTGCTGTCGAAAACCACCCTGTCGGTCGTCGAGCTAATGATGTTGACCACGAGCACGGTGAGACCGAGCTTGTCGAGCTTCTGCTGCATCGCGTGGCGTCGCGAGGGCTCGAGCGACTTGATCATTTGACTATTCGTGTGCCATTCCTGTCTCTAGTCATTTCCTTCATGGAACTATACCAAAAGATGTCGAGGAGGTCGACACTCATCTTGGCGTACTTGGCGTGTTTGAGCAGCTACACCAATCGGTTTGCATCGTTCTCTTCTACCACAAGTGTACCTTGAAGTGCTCGATGAGCTTGAGGATGACGTCATCAAAGGTCAACGACGACTTGGGGACATCCGAGATGGACTCGGCTTCGTCGCGGAGCGCGTCCTCCAAGTGCAAGATGCGCTGCATCATCGCATGCAGCTCTGCGGATCGCGCGACTTGGGTCTCGGGGTCTGCCTTGACAAGCGATAGGAACGCGTCGAGGACCGTACCGTCCTCACTCGCGACCACCGGCACCAATCCGGCATTCTTGGCTCCGTCCCAACTATTTGACCATCGTGAGCACCTCTTCCATTTCAAGACCGTTGTGCACCCGCCGTCCAGAGGTGCACGCATCAGGAGCTGCCGACACCGCGCGAGCGACGAGTGCCATTGCGACGGTGATTTCATCGGCGACGGTGGCGACAACGGCGTCGTGGCTTGTCGAAGCGGCGCGAGTCCCTTGGTCGGCGACGACCGCGAGACGTGCAAAACGTCTTTCGGCCGCGCGGTCAACGAAGCTCTCGGTGGCGAGGCCATGGAGGTGTCCGGGTGCTGCAGCTGCTCGTAGAGCGCCCGGAGGGTCTCGCGGGCACTTGCTTCGCCAAGCACAATCGAGCGCAGTACTCGGTTTTGGCCCAAGTGCGGTCGCTTGGGTCGCGCCGATGCTTCGTACGCGAGGTTTTCAAGCGCACTCGGATCATTCTGGGCCGACGCGAGCTTGTCGAGGACCCGCGCGCTGGCCAGCAGCGCGTCTTGGTTGGACGGAGAGAGCTGCGCAAACGTCGTTGCTGTCACGGCTGTCGAGAGCAGCGAAAACAGCGTCTCGTAGAGGGATATGAGCACGGACGCAGGCGCCGAGAGCTCCACCAAGCACGCGTGCAGCGCCGGCAGCAGCAGTGTCAGCAGGTGCGACTCGTACGGCGGATCGTCGGTCGCCAGTTTCTTGTATGACGCAGCCGCAACGTCGACCCAGATACGCCCGCCATCGTACACGACGTGCGCCTGCGGCGGCGTCAGCGCGTCCTTCTGTTGGAGGTGGCAGAGGTGCGCAAATGCGTCTAGTTAGTAGAAAATATGTAGAATCATCGACTAGAGAAGGCGCCACGTACACTCAACGAGCAGCGATTCGAGCGTCGTCACGATCTGGTCGTGGGTGGCTTGCGGCTGCTGCGCCCACGACGGCGCCTCCGAGGTCAAGTAGACTTCCTTTAGAAACCGGACGAGCGCCATGGCCACGTTGCCGAGCCACGTATACTCGTGGAGGCTGCCGACGCAGGCGAACGCCGCCGCGTGCAAGAGGCTCAGAAGCGCATCGAGCGAGAGGATCGACGCGCAGAGGTCCTTCAGCCGCGCGTCCGCCCCCATTGCACAGGATGCGAGCAAGTGCAGAACGTCGAGGTGGTAGGTCACCGTCGCGTCTCGCTGCGTGGTCAGAGCTTCCTTGGTTTCGGTAAGGAGGGCGAGGAAGCTCGTAGGGGCTGCCCCTAGAAGCTGGAGGTACCCGGCGTCGGGCTTGACAAGCTCGAGGAGAACGACGAGCTGGTTCTCTGGGACGGGCGTGTCCCCGACGCTGACAAAGGCTTCGAGGGCGTGGAGGTACCGACCTTTCGTTTGCGCGTGCACGTCGAGATCGACGCGCCAGAGATCGAGGAAGTGCTGGAGGACCTTGACGGGAATCGCCTTGCAGAGACTCTCGCTGCTGCCGTAAACGAGCGAGAGGACGTCTTGCGCCTCTTCGATTTCCTCGACGAGGTCTAGAAGCGCAAGCGTGTGCTCGGCGAGCAGCGCTACGTTCATGCTGTTGTCCGCACCGAACGCGAAGAAGAAGCGCAGCGCTTCCACAAAGACAGGGCGTAGCGCGGTCTGCTGCTGCATCCGGCTGAAGCTCGACGTCGCGTGCGCCATCGGACTCGTCGCCCGGCTCGCGTCGCCTAAAACGGACGGGAAGTGACTCTTGAAAAAGTGGTTGCCGTCGCGCAGCATGTCAAAGATGGTCTGCATCGCGTTGAGGTTCCGGAGAAGCCGCCGGACCTCGACTTGATGCGCGCTCGCCGGATGAGCTGCCGTCCTTGGCAGCCCAATGTTGAGGGTCTGACGCCGCTCCCGGATCTCAGTCACGATCCCAGACGACTGCAGATGCGCGGTAAACGAGGTGAGGAGGCCCGTGACCGAGGTGGCAACTCTGAAATCTTCGGTCGACGTGAGGTTCATCCAGACTTCGGTCGTCTCGGCGAAATGGCGCAGCTGCTGCACATCGGCTTGCAGCTGCCCGTAGATGCCAACGGTCGCATCGTTGACGAGGAGGAGGACGTTGGAGAGTGCTTTCGTCACCTGCTCGTGCTGGTTGAACTGCTGCATGAGCAGCTCGAGCGCCTTGGAAACCAACGGCGGGTGCTCGTACATGAGCGCTTGCAGCAAGATCGTGTCGACGGGTCGGTGCGCGAGCTCCGAGAGGCTGTAGCGGCAGCTGAGGCTCGGCGTTTCAAACATCGAGCGCGCCAGCGTCGAGAGGGGCTTGGACGCGTGGCGGCGCCACCGGGGGCCGTGGAACGGCGGCTCGGTCGCCAGCGTCACCAGCACCGTCGAGATCTGCGCGTCGAGGCGCAGCGCGTCGACAAGCAGGAGCGTGGCGCAAATGTCGTCCTTGATCTCCATGAGCACCTGCGTGAGACCGGTCATTTGGAACTTGGTCCTCATCGGAGGCTCCACGGGCGACTTGAGCTTGGGCGAGTTGGCCGACCGCCGGCGCCGGCGCATGGACGCTGGTCTACATGAGGCGTGAGGTGAGTGGCATCACACAAGCAGTGTACTCGAGGGTCTTCTTCGTCGCGAGACGTGCGGGCTCGAGCGACGCGCGCCGCATCGCGTGCCCGCCCTCGGTTTGCTGGATGATGGCGTTCTGCGCCTGCAGGTCAAAGCGCGTCGACTCGGACGACCGGTGGAAGAACGTGGGTGACACGACGACCTCGGTCGCGTCCAACAACTCCCGGTGCGACCTCGTCGACGGTTTGTACCAGTAGTCGGTGCGGCTGTCGAGGAGCTTGACCAGCTCGAGCACGAGCGCGCCAAGCTCGGCAATCGACCGAAAGAGCCCGAACGCCACCATCTTTTTACAGAGCCGGACAAACGCCAATGTCAAGTCGTTTTGAGCCGCCTCGGTGATGATGACGAGTCCATTCTGCTTTCGAAAGTAGGTCATCGCGAGCGTCTGCAGCTGACCAAAGAAGGTCCAGTCGTCGGTCGAGTACATGCCATCTCGCGCGACCGGGAGCTTGTCTTGATGCAAGAGCACCTCCTTCCAGATGCGCGTGTAGTTGGGGCTCGGCAGTGGCGTCTGCGGCTCGCAGTCCAGATGCAGCGCCACGAGGAGGTTCAGCAGCACGGCGCGGATCGACCGCGAGAGCGCGGGATCTTGCACGCAGGCCAAGAGACTCGCGCGGGGAAAGCTGCCGGCCAGACACCGAATGCACGTGTAGTTGCGATCCATGCACAGCGCGCAGTAGAGCTGCAACAGACCGTAAAAGTACGGTGCGAGCGTTGCGTGGGACTTGTGACTGTAATAGTCGTCAAAGAAAGTGCGGAGCGGGACCCATTTATCGGCGACCGCGTCCACGCAGAGCTCGAGGCCCGTGGGCGTCGGCCGCGTGTGCACGAGGACCGCGTCCGAGTAGCCGTGGCTCGGATTGAAGAGCAGCTCGCAGATTTTCTCCTGGACCTTGGGCACGGCGTGGCCGTTGGCCGAGCAGAGCACGACGAGGAACTGAAGATACCGCATCGCCCTGCCGTGGCGCCGAATCAGATCAAAGAAATTGCGCACGATCGCCGAGAAGGACGCGAACGACTCGGAGAGGTGGAACTTCTCCTGGATGAGGTACGAGAGCGGCACGGACGCCTTGAACCCATGCCCGAGGAGCGCCAGCAGCACGGGCATCGCGTGCCGGCACGCCGACGTGTCGGAGGTTTTGCTGCTGTAAAACATGCGGAACAAGAGGATGTTGATCGCGCAGAGCACGTGGTGCAGCTGCCGCATGGCGGTGTGCGGCCATTGGAACACGATTGGCAGCGACTTGTCCATGGGCGGCGGCGGCGGCGGTGCGACACCGTTGCTGAAGCGCCCGCCACCGGGCGACATAAAGTCGTTGGTGTGAGGCAGCTCATCGATCCCGTCGCTCGGTTCGTTTTGAGGCTGGAACCCACAGACGTAGTCGATCGAGAATGGACCACCGTACGCTGCGAACGGCGCCTCGAGCATCCGCGTCAGCAGTGGCACGAACTGGTGCCGGTGCAGCAGCGTCTGCCGCAGCCACAGGACGTGGTCCGGTGTCTGCGTGTCCAAGAACGTAAACGTGTTGAGCTGGCTCAGGACGCGCTCGACGTCGTCCAAGCGCGGGTCGCCGCCGGACGCGCTTGCAAAGCTCGCGATAAAGCTTTCGCAGAGCGTGCGGTAGGCGAGCAGCCGCGACGTATCGTGGAGCTCCGTGGACGAGACCGAGACAATCTTGAACGCGTCTTCGTCCTGCGGCGTCAACAGCGTCACGAGTGGCGACGAGACGTGCAGATGCGCGCTGCTCCGCGTGTGCAAGTACGTGAGCGTCTGTGCGTGCTGGAGCAGCACCGCGCTCTTGTGCCCGATCGGGTTGCTACACCATTAACGGTTCGAACTTGCGAACGCATCATCGACGTGGTGTACCGTGGGTTGACGAGCGTCGTGGGCCGTAGGAGGTACGACGACTGCGGCTGCGCGTTCGTAGCCACTCGAAGCCCCGCCTCCGTGTTCTCCACATGCAGATACTGCCCGGTGAGCACGTGACGAAGGCAGACGCTGTCCGTCCAGTGCAACAGGCCGCCGTCGAGGAAGCAGCTCTTCTCGACTTCCCACAGCGTCTCGGGCGACAACTAGGAGGCGTTCTGAGTTGCCATGGAGCATAGAAGGGGCGTGTACGCACGAGATGCGAGTTGGTGTCGGCAGCGTCGGATGCGCCACCCGACTCGGCTTGCAGGTGCACGGCGCCGCCGCCACAGCCTAGCCACGCACTCGTCTCCAAGTGCAGCAGGCGAATGCAGAGCCCGGATCGGAGACCGCGACCCGTGTCGGGCTGGTACATCGTCGCGCTCGAGACGTCCTTCTCCGAGTGGTCGTAGGGAGCGAGTCGCCACTGCGACGCATGCGACAGGGAGGCGTGCACCAGTGTCGACGCGCCATCAACTGCGCTGCGGGTCGAGACGTGCATTGCGAATCGCTGCGCCTTGTATGTCGCCGCGAGCACAATCTAGTACACATTTCTGGTGCCATCTCGTACCAGAAAAGAGCCCTACTTGGTCCATGAGCTGGACGGGCTCGCCTGTCTTTCGAAGCTTGAAGCGCGGTAGAAGCGTGAGATGACACGCCGCCGCGCCGTCCGACAAGACCACCTACCAATGCGTGGTGCAACACAACCCGCCATGACGATGAGCATCTACCTCGAGGGTCTCCTTGTCCCTTGTCGGCTGCATGGCAATGTACTTGCCCGTCTTGATGTGCCGCAGCTGCACCGTCTAGCGCGTTCGTTCTTAGATGATGGATGCGAAGGGACGTGCGTGTACCTGGCCGTACTTGACGCGCGTTCCGTGCAGCTTGTCGTAAACGTTGGCGTTCAACCGGAGCTCCGACTCGCTCTTGAACTTGAGATCGGAGAAGGCATCCGAGAACCCAGTCGACGTCGTGCTCGCGTTCTCGGACGCCTTGGCCTCTTCGAACGCTGCTGTGGCCTCGTACACCATCTTGGGCAGCACCTATGCGCGCTGTCCAGAAGGGCAGTCGAGATAAACATGTTGGTGTACCTCGAAGAGACAATCCTTGGCATGGCACGCGACAACGTGGACGTCGCGCTGGGACCCCGGGTCGGTGAGCTGCGCGTCAATGAGGTCCACCGTGGCCTTGAGGCTCTGCACGAGGCCCTCGAGCCGCACTTCCGACGTGATGAGGCCGTCGCCTGCGAGGAAGCCGCCTCGGTCCATGCTCAGGCACGACACGATCGTGCCATAGACGAGGAAGCCGTGTCCGCCCGCGTGGATCGACGTGGTCTTGGACGCATACTCGCTCGGGACGCGGTCCAGACTCGCGGGCAAGTTGCGCGGCGACAAGAGGCCGTTGGGCGAGAGCGGCGTGTGCGCGGACGGGCGGTGAAGCTCTTTACGCAGCGGCGATGAGAGCGGCGACTCGCCGAGCGTCCCCGCAGCGAGCGTCGCGTCGACGTTGAGGTTGCGCCGCTTGCTCGTGAAGCGCTGCATCTCCCGCGCTGCCAGAAAATCCGAAACCTCCGATCGGAAAGGGCACTTGTTCGACGAATCATCATTATCCACGAACCGAAGTACCCACACTAAATACGTCTTTGATATATATCTCATGTAAGGGTCTCTTGATCGCACGGGTGGTGTATGGTACAACCGAACTGCAACCAACGAAAAGTTGACGCTTCGAGGCTCAGCGACACCGATCGAGGCCTCTGGTGAGCGTCTCAGAGCGTCAGTAGCCTCAGGTGCTGTGCCAAGCCTGTGCGAGATGTGTAGCATACACGCCACTCGAGTGCTAGGGCGTCGTAGGTGTTTTGGCTCGAGCAGAACCCCGAGCAAGGTAGCCCAAGGTCGCCTCGCGCTGTGAGCGTGCCACGTGCAAATGGTACTTTCTAGGCGAATTCGTGGCAAATGGTATTTTTCACGTGTGAAAAACGTCAGAACCCGAGATGCTGCTTTCGCTGTACGTGATCAACAAGGCCGGCGGGCTCATCTACCACGAGGACCTCTCGGCGGAGGCGCCCAAGCTCAACTCGAACGACCACCTGCGCCTCGGCTCGACCTTCCACAGCATCCACGCCATCGCCGGCCTCGCGGCGCCGCTCCTCTCCAAGGGCATCGTGTCGATGGAGACGGACGCGTTCCGGCTGCAGTGCTTCCAGGCGCTGACGGGCACCAAGTTCTTCGTGACCGCCCTCCCGACCATGGGCGCGCTCGAGCTCGAGGCCATCTTACGCAGCATCTACGAGATCTACGCCGACTACGTGCTCAAGAACCCGTTCTACGAGCTCGAGATGCCGATCCGCTGCAGCCTCTTCCACACCAACCTCCGCGTCCTCGTCGACCGCGTCAACGCCGAGGCACTGCGCCGCCCCATGTAGCTAGCCGTAGCGTAAACATGTTTTCCATTATCACCGAGTCGCCTCGTCCGACAAGCCTGTGGTGGTGATCCATGCACTCGCACTACGGGCGCCCTCGTCGAGCCACGGCAGGCGAAAGGCTTCGTACTTGAGGATCGATTTCTCAAACCGCGAGAGCTTGGCGTCCGTCGGCAGCGTCGACGCGAGCGCGACCTGCTTCATTGCGCCTTCCTTCTTGCCACTCTCGTAGACCTGCACCGTGCACCAGACCACGTCGAGGCTCAGCACGCTGCGCCGGGCCACGTCCTCCAAGACACTGGTCACACGCGCCGCCAGCGTGCGCTCGCCGACGCACTCGAGGGACTCCTTGACGCTCTTGCCCGATTTGCCGCGGCGCCGGTCTTCTTCGACGGCCGTCCCATCCGCGAGCAAGACGAGCCGCTCCGTGAAGAGGATCGTGTCGTGGACCACGAGCCGCCCAGGCCCCGCGACCTCGACCGTAAAGCGCTCAACCGCGTTGCTCGGGCGCAGCGATGGATCTTTGAGAAGCGTGCAGAGCTGCGTGACGCGGCCGTAGCTGCTCCACGCCCGCGACGCGTTGCCTGCGCGCACGCGCAGCCGGTAGACACTGTTGGGGACCAGGTCCAGCAGCGTCGTCGCCGAGTCCGGTCCTTCGTACAAGGCCGTCCAGTCGCCCGCCGGCTTGGCCACCTTGGTGTCGGAGAGGCACTCGATGAACTTGGCTTCCACGAGGAAGCGCGAGGCGCCCGTGGCACTCGGATACCACACGACGCGCGCCTTGGTCGCAAGGACGTCGACGACGCCGACGGCCGACGGCGGCTCGGGCAGCGTGCAGACCGACAGCGCACTGCTCAGACCGCTCGACGCGTGCGACGAGACGTGCCGGAGCCGGAAGACGTACGAGGTGTTTGGTGCCAAGCCGCGCACGTGGTAACTTTTGTCGGCGCCGCGGTAGACGACGGCCGTCATCTCACTGCGCCCGGCGTCCGAGCGCTTCAGGACATATTGCACGTCGGGCTTCGTCCACCAGTCTTTGAACTCGTCGAACGAGATCTTGCCGTCGTTGTTGGTGTCGAACGTCTCCATGTATGCAGCGAGGCGCTCCTCGGACGGCGCGACACCGAGCTCGGACAGCAGCGTCTTGAACTCGGGCAGCTCCAAGTACCCACTGCCGTCGCGGTCGTAGCGCTGGAACTTGCCGGCAAAGTCGATCGCGGGGTGATCCACCGGCGTCTCTTTCGCCCACTCTTTGAGAAGCTTGTGCACCGAGTCGTCGAGGACGTTGGACTTGCCTTTGAGTGCGATGCTGCGCTTGTCGCCGGCATGCACG